TGGGCTTTTATTATTCGTTTTTGGTTAAAGATTCGTCTTTTAATACTTAATTTCGATGTTACATGTAGCTGGACTATCTACAATAAGGTCGTACATGACTAAACTCAAGGTTAGAGCACGGTTCAGTGTGTGACTAATAACCTTTAACTGTTTGCTTGAAAAGGTTACGGGAATCCTTGCAGACATATATCAGGTCCCATCTTGTTAAGAACATTTTTCTGGTTCTCAAATATCGAATTATTATTTTTGATGTCTAGCATTTTATTTTATGCTAAAGAAATCCCTGACTGTTTAGCACAGGCTGTATCGCTTGAGGTATTTTATACTTTTGATATGATGTTTTTTTACTAACCATTTTAAATTAAACACGGAGTTTGTGTTTTAAAAAAATACAAGTCACTCAAAAACGCTTCGTATGGTATACAGAAGAACGTAGTTTGGTCCAATCAAATAAGCTTTAGTTCGTTAGTTCTGCATCCAGACCGAATACTAAGACTTTGGTAGTTGCAACAAGTATGTAAAGTAAACCAAAGTGGTCAGCGAGAATTGATTAGTGGCAAGGAAATGATCGCAAAACCTATAATGTAGGAAGGTGAATGACTTTAATCGAGCGAGATTAAAAATATTCCATTAGTTAGGATATGAAGATATCAAAAAAATGATGACTTTACACTTAGGTCAAGACAAAAAATTGTTTTCCGATGAAATGCACACATTTACACAAAACCATGCAAAAGACATTCTACACCACTCGTCAAGTGTCTTGCGAAATGCTCACAGTGCACTTTTAGTCGACTTACAAATGCATTGAATTTTGTTAAAGATTAACTATTTATCTTTAACATCAGATTATTTTTTAAAACGCAATATTATTTTCAGTGTAATAATGTTAAACAGTGAATAGTTAAAATGTCCTCATGGAATTAGGCTCAGCTCCTTTCAGTTCTCGATGCATCTCTGCTGCTCACATTAGTTATATGATGTGCATACATTGATGAGGACGGGTCAGAGGTTAGAGCACTCAATCTGTCAACTTAAACACATAAGAAGGGTATATAATAAAGACAACGATGACAACTAGTTGTTAGCTATGTCCATAGCTAACCAATCAAATCGTTGCTTAAGCTCACACCACGTTAATCTGGTCTGATGTGTCTATGAACTGTTTCTACTGCATGTGACACACCAATTGAAAGACATTATTATCTTATTATATTAATGTGATTTACAAACTTTTTTCATTTTGATAAGACACACAATACTGGTCGGTATGCTTGTGCGTTTCATTTAATGACTGTTATTCTTTAATTATTGTACTAATCCAATTGTTTTTACGTTTAGAAACAGATAAAGTTTAAAGCCAAGTTGTCCTTGTTCTGATCGTAGCTTTCATATAGACTCTGGGATCGCCAGTATCGCGTTCACAGTTCTGGTAATATATCTGCAAGATAAATTAAATCCTGCACTAGTCTCATGTAAACCCGTGAGACCAAACTGATTTGACAACTTCAGAGCAACTAAGAAGCTCACCTAAACATGGATCGAAGGCAGACGGTGTTGTCCGTAACTAAACTATATGGCTCAGTAAACTAAGTAGTACCAGAACCATGAAACCTTAAACACAATTTTAGGAACCATGAGTACTTTTAACACACAAAGAAGACGGTGAAATATACGGAAGATGTAGAAAATATTATGAAACGGAACAAAGCCTTGTTTTCCAATATGAAACGTTTTGTTCAACGCAACAATATAGTAACAGTCACTATGACACCATTCTTTATGATAAGCTAATTAGTCTTAGAAATCGATGTGTAAATGTAGCTGAGCCCAGATGGAAATAGGTGAAGGATGTGTTCCTCAGTTGGTTAGGTAAGGTGTGGCGACATACACGAAAATGCATTTAATACGGACAATTGTCTATGATCTACATTCGGTAAGTCCATAGCCCTACATCTGACAAGACTCTTAACAGGCTAATATCACTTAGTAAAATAAGCCTTGTTGATATTGTTTATTGTTAGGGAATACTTTGAAAACGGTCACATGACACAACGGTTGAAGACGTCAGGTGAAACACCTTAATCGAAGACCTTAAAGACATTCACGAGTTGATCACACTTCAGAAATTGTGAACGATTTATGAATACTTGCGAATAAAACCACATAAAAATAAAATATGCGGAGACACAAACATCATGAGAGAAACGTTGCACATAAAGAAAAATAAAGGAATAGTGTGATGTTTGAATGAACCAATGATTTATTTGTATTGATGACCATTTGAATTTTAAATTTCAAATACAGTACATTCGTTCGTGTTCATCTAATACTTCTTGATTAACTTGTGTTATTGCTGGGATTACTAGTTCATACGCAATTCAAATACTTTAAATCATCACAAATAGTCATTCGGAAAAACACATTGGGGAACATTTCACATATCATCACAGGAATAAACAAACGGATTCTAGGATTGATGAATGGCCTGAAAGACAGGCTTCTGAAAAGTGGCGGGTTTACCTAGCTTTTTGTCAGTAACATTCATACAGATAGAATGGATGCTATATGGGTTTTCAACACCAACAGTACAAGACCTCGAAATGAAAAATAACAGATCAGTAATTAGTAATTCTCTTTCCGACCACATTGAAGGATTGAAATAAAGTAAAATAAAATGACATTGAAATAAAATACTTATCGGGTGTGTTTGAGTGAATGACGATGCACGAAGTTTCATATGGAAGTACTTAACAGGTCTTAATTCAAGAATAACCAAGATCTGCAATCTTATAATCAAATCAGACATGGAACTGCCGTTTGATATCACCACTGATTTGTTAAAACTCCTAGGAACAGGGGTGATACATAAGTCCACTAGTGAATTGAATGAAAAATGTCATAGTATCCCTTAGCACAACCGATTCGCTCTAACTTTAGTACAAATGATAAAAACTATTGTCAATAAATGGGCTCATAAATATGTCTACTAATAAATGTCTTGTTTGGTTGGACAGTCTTATATACAGCCAATATAAGTACTCTGAATCAGCATTCTCTACTGTTATCACAGTCCAGTTTAGTCACGACTAGACCGATGACCGAAAGCATTCAAATATTCATAATAGTTTTATGTACTGAGCTCAAACACATATGTTAGAAAAGACTTACATGAAATTTGTCCGTTATTCTTCTTATTGTTGTCCATCAGCAACTTAAAAAACGAACACTGTGAGCCCTGCTTTCATACTATTTAAAATTCCGGAATGTGATGATATGTTGGAAGAGAATATCAAGCACTTACAATAATATCGGTCCATCACTTTGCTTTTGACATTTAAGAAGTGATATCAGTTTCTGATTCCAGAAATTAAGCAAGGAAAATAATTCCTCAACACAAGGGAAACCACGAAATTCAAACGAAGACATCTTGGATCGTCAACCTCAGTCAAGGGAAATGCTATCCGAACTACACATTTGTAAAGTGAAACAGCATGTACGCTTAAGTGTGTTCGAGGAGTGTTTATAAGGTTAATGACAAAAATTTTGACGCTCCCCATATGAAGTTGTTACTATTACATTCAGATGGTAATCGAATATAACAATATCAGTTTGACAGCATGTATCTGTTTCCATTCACATTATATTGCGAAAAAATGAAGACGGCTGACCTTAATAAAGGGCAGAGACATGTCACTCATCATAAATAGAGGAAAATAACAGATACAGTTGCATCAAAATAAGGAAATAAATGATTCTTGGAGATTCATTAAAAACTGTTCCGTCCTCTGGCCGTGGTTAACGAAGAATAACGAAGTTGAAAATACTAGTTATTCAGCCGTCAGTTGAAAACTCCCGCAAAGAATGCTTCTAAGCAATGGAATTACTAAACTAAGATTATAAGCAATAATGATGACCTATAACATCACAAAAGTCTGTAGGTATTCTTCAGAATGTCTAGTTAAATTCACATTTATTGAGCCTAGGATCTAATAAATACATTTAGAAATTCAGTGAAGTAGGTTTGATTGTAAGTCTTCTGTCTAATATTAGTCCCTCAGTTGAATCAGCTGTTTCTAGTGCATATTTCAAAAATTATTACGATCTTTGCCACATCATATCGGTAACTACTTCCTATCTCTCTTGTTTCCATTTCCGTTTCTCCTCTCATTTTTTCCATTCCGTCTTCCCACGCTATCTGCGACACCAAATAATTGTCTTATTTACTTGTTCTTGAAACAATCATCTCTCCTTAGAACTCAAAGAACCACTTTATAATTGTACCATTGCAACCAACCAACGTCTTACCAGGGAGCGTTGAAGCTCCTGGTATCCAGAAACTTCACTACCCTGAGACAAACTCACTCATTCAACCAAAAGGTAAACAAGTCCACAAATAACATCCAAACTGATTGGAATTGTTTAGTCGAGTGACTAGACTACCAATAATTGGACATGATCAAATACTTGGAACTGTACCGAAATAACAAGAAGCGAATGGAAAGAAATGAGTCGGTTTATACAAGTTCGTGACAAAGTTTTGATACATTGAAAGTGTTGATATTCATCATCGTCCTAAGTATATTGAGATGATCCAAGAAGGACCTTGTGTTACTCCATGAGATTCAGGAAAACATCTCATATCTATCTGTTAGCACATTTTCATTCCTGGGTGTCTCATATTAGTAAGTTCCCATCTAAATATATCGACAGTTCTTAGCTACTTATCATATGAGATCTTTAAGAAGAAAACTCTGTCTCTCGAATATTCATTTAAACACTTTAACTAGCACCACTACTCCAGTCCATATACAAGTTAGTGGTAGGGATACTGATTACAGATTGGATAAATTGAATACCGAGATTGCTCTCAAGGTTAAAAAGAGGCGGTCTTGGCTGTCGCACCGTTACCATCGTTACCTTAGTCAGAACATCAGTGACGGATACAATGTCTTCTGAATAGGAATGTGTTTGTGGGTGTGATTGCAGTTTGTACTAAAATGACTCAGTCAGTTTTCATTCAAGGTAACTATTTATAATCACTCGAATTCGATTTTGCTTCATAGTAGGTCAGTGTGGTAATCAAATAGGTCACCGATTCTGGGACTTAGCTCTTGCAGAACACGAGATTGCCAATAAAGTAAGTCATTAGTGTACACTTACAATCATGATATCAGGGATGCCTGCACGATAGCTCACTTAATTCGTTTTTTATGAACGGAACGAATAACAAAAATGGTATCCTGCCTAAAATTTCTGGCCTCAAAGCTAGAGTAACTAAAATTCTGAATTACAATCTCGAAGGCTTTGCTTGTAGATATGGAAGAAGGCGTTGTCAATGAGATGTTAAAGGGACCATTGAAAAATATTTACGATTCCAGTTACCTGATCACTGATGTATCAGGTTCCGGAAACAACTGGTATTTCACCTAGCTACTAAATATCTTAACTTTGAATTCAGGGCAGTGGGAAACTTGTATTACGGCCGAGTACACCAAGATGCGTTGTGTGAAGCTCTAAGGAAGTCTGTAGAACTTTGTGATTTTCTGCAGTGCTTTTTTGTCCTCCATTCAATGGGCGGAGGTAATTAAGTGGTTTGTTCGACTTATTTCTGAAGGTACTGGCTCTGGAGTTGGTACTCATATCTTGAAGATTTTAGCTGACGATTATCCTGATGTATATAAGTAGGTTTAAAATTTTTCACATAAATCAGAATGGACATTGCTGTGTTTCCTTCAACGGATGATGACGTTGTCACTTCTCCGTATAACACAGTTTTGGCTCTTGATCAGACCACTGAATTCGCTGACTGTGTGTTGCCTATTGATAATATAGCTCTCTCAAATATAATCGATAAAGTTAAAAATGTTCATTGCAACTCTAAAGGAAATGTGAATGAGAGTACAGGTTCAGCAATTTGTCCAAAACATATCAAACCATCAAAACCTTTCGATGACATGAACAATATTGTGGCTAATATGCTATTAAATCTCACAAGGTATGGTTCCGTCTCGCTATGGCTGTCATTTCTTGGCATTTTAAAATTCTTCTGACATGTATTTCTATAAAGTTATTTGTAGTTGTGATAACGCGTACTTTATGTTTTTTTTGTGTTCACACTTGCTAAAAGAAGTATCAATATTGAATTCTTTTTCGGCGTCGTCGAACGTATTTTTAGTTATCATACGTTTTGATTCCTGAAGCTACTGTGTTTGACAAAATAATCTCTTGACGAGCTAGTGTAAACTAATTGTTTTTGTACGCCTAGATTTTGGTTCTCGGGGACGGTTCTAGGTCTTTGATTGCATTTGATAAGCTGCTCGGCTAGTTTCCCTGTTAGCAATAATATGAGTCTAGTTTCTTCATTCCTTTGTTTTATCAGTAGGTATCATATCAAGCGTAGTATGAAGACTAAGAGGAACAGATTAAGCTCCTAATAATTACACAATGAAAGAAAATTCCAATATCAGTAAATATCAATGGATAAAGTAGTGGAAAAAGAAGGGGCAAAGGCTGTAAGGCGTAACTTTGAAAGATAGCAAACTGCCAAGTGTGACTCCATCTTGTCATTATGTTGTCATGTATTGTTTCATCTAGTACAGAACATCCTGTAGGTTTCTAAATGGTTGTCCGACGATAACTTAAAACATTTTTCTAATAATATTAATGCTCTCAAGTTGAATTTGCACGCGCGCTTATGTTGCGTTAGGAACAATTCAGAAGGTAGCATACTGAGCTGCCAACGGACTGAATGAAGTGTGGTATAGGATTTAGCCACGTTTCCTGAGTAGCTAGATTCGTGCCCGACCTCATTAGTAGTACACCTTTACCACCGTTTGTTAAGTTTCTAAGGAGGCGATGGCCAAAAAGTACACAGTTTATCTGTTGTGTTGTATGGGCACGAATCCACATGACCTAGCTTTTGTGTAGAGTGGATTTAGAACCATTCTCTTATTTCTTCAGCGACGCGAGGTCCCTTTGAATCGACATATGTCCACACTTGGTGACTCTTTATCGTTTGACATCTCAAGCATAAAGATGAAAAGGTCGTATTATGTTCAATTCATCCTATATCAGTACACTCAAACCATGTGGTAAACTGAATTCTTCTTTACAGAATAACAGATTTTTCTGATGAAGTTCAGTCAATAGTTAAATTTTTTGCCTTCATTGATGATCTGTCTTATGGCATATTGACCTTCAGACCCATTAATATATTTAATGTGACCAGACAAAATTTCATTATTTAGTTCCTCTAAAATATTTTGCTTTAGCTCTGCTTATCACATTAGGTTTACTTTTCATGATAACAAGTAGAATACAGTTTTCAACGGTTGTTGCACACAAAGTCATATACAGAGAACGAGAAATATAACTAAAGTATCATATTCATACTTGATGAATAGCATTGCTGTGATGAACCTAGTTGTGGAATATTTGTGTCTACTATTCGGTGATATCCTCAGTCCTAGTAGATTGCTCCTTAAATTAGTAATTTCGAGGAAACTTTTCATTATTAGAGATAAATAGTGACATGTGTCCTAGTTCTGTCAACAAAAACGTAAGTCAAAGATATACACTAATGCACTATCATGATACATTTCTGCAACGTTTCCCTGAAGTATCTTGACATTTTTCCTTGGTGTTCAATTTATTTAGCTCTTCTCGATTTGAAGGTACCATGAATGTTGATTTAAATGAAATCAGTATGAACTTAGTTCCGTTTCCTCACTTACATTACCTGATTGCTTCACAAAGCCCTTTATCAACCATCTCTCGCATATCAGCTCCTAGAAAGTAAGAATTAACACCTATTTCTAATATGTGTGTGGTTTTATATATATTCTCATTTCATCAGTTTTGTAATGGAATCCTCCAATAACCAAAATCCTAGTGTAGATCAACGAACCATTGAATCATATTTTGCCCATATGTTTGCTATATCATGTCATATATAAGTCAGTAAGTACACTGATTGTCATAATGAGATATAAATTCAAAAACTGATGCTGTAATAAAATGTACTTCAGGGATTACACAGTCATATCACCACAAAACTTTTTAACTCTGTGAACTCTATGTGCATTGTAAGAGCTACTAAAGTTCTTTTAAAAATTTTGAAGAATGTGACTAGCACTGTTCCGTTCCTTTTAAAGGGATACATGAATAACTTGTAAAACTGACAAAAACTATGGGAAACCGTCATTAAGTTTAGGGCTTAATAAAAGTAAACTTGAATATTATCCAGTCAAGTATTAAAATTGTATGTTAAAAACAATATGGGATATGAAATATACCCCAGTTCACTTGATGTACTGTCGTACATAAGTCAACATCGCCATGTAATTAAATGAAAATTCAGAAAAGTCAATCAGAATTTTAACGTAGAAAATTCAAACGATTGTGGTCGAAGTGATGAAACTTTAAAAAATGTTTAAGCCGAAAATTATAGGTTATAGTGATCAGTTATTGATAGGATTTTAAAAAGTTGATCACACAAAATGATATGTTCAGGGAATCATTTTTTCAGTTCTTCATTTCAAACCACTAATATTTTTGAATTCGCGCTTTCTGGTTATGAAATAATTCATAAAACCGGCAATTTCTTTGTAGTTTGACCTAAAATAAATTTCTAATACAGTTTCTGAAACTTTTAGCCTTCATTACGATTCTTAATTTGTATATGTATTTAGTTTACACATCACTTGCTTTAGATGTATTTGGTATTAGCTTGAGTTTTCAGTTTATAATTTGTTACTACCAAGTGACTTTTTAAGTCATATGTACTATTTGTATGATAATGTTTCATTCTAAAAGTCTCATACTTTGACATGCAATGATGGGTGGAGTAGGAAAAAGTACGCTAGTAGTGACCAAATAAAGACTTACCATCAATCTACAAAGTCAGTCAATTATTTGAAATATTCGGTGACTTAGTTCAGAACCAGTTGGCGGCTCAGATACACTTACTCTTCATTTTGCTCTAGATTTTAGGTCCTTCGAGTATTATTTTGGACAAACTCAAATTTGTGTCAAACTCTACATTGATTATGGCTAACTAGCAGACCATTTAATTGAAGTCATGAACAAGTTCATGATTTCAATGAAATTCAACAACCTTCCCAACCCCTTATGCTACTCTTTCTTTGACTCAATCAAAAAGAGTTATTTTATGTTTCTATTAATTATTTATTTTTCGTTAGTGACACTTTAGTACAAAGTTTATCATAGATTTATCTGTTGTTTATTTCCTTCTAAATTTAGTTCCACCAGTTTAAAATTCCTATTTATGGGTGAAGTTTATTATTTTTTTTGATTTTGGGTTTTTTTAGGCTCGACCAAGTATTTTCAGATACATTTACCAGAGATTATCAGTTAATGTCTACTGATCCTTGTAGACATGTTTATCTAGCAGCTGCTCTACTTGTTCGTGGTGCAATTAGTGCATCAGATCTCCGTCGAAATATTGACAAGTAAGTTGTTATGAAAATACTATGTTGAACTTTATATAAGAAATTTATATTGTGTCGGTTAAATCTCTTAGAATGGTAACATAACCTTATTTAAAAGAATATAATACTGTATATGCCAAAAGCGTTTTGTTTGTGATTGGTAGTGTTAGTTGTTTATTTGTCAATGATTTCCCTAGAGTCTTAATAAACTTAACTGGTTCCGTTAGTAATATGCTGAAGCTTGTGAGAGTTAATCGACAGCTCCATTTAAATTCACAAATCGTTGAAATAATACAGTTGTTCAGAAAACGTCCGTTAATTGCAGTGATCTCACACCATTTTAAGATCTAAAATTTTCAAATCCCTTACAAACAAATCTTGGGCTTCTTAATAATAACCATTAAATGTCTACTGGACTGTCCCTAGAAATACTATTGGGTCACACAGTCTACAGAATATTTCTTTCGTAGCAGTTCGTGTTTAACCTAAAAGCACATTTGAAGGAAACGTGCAGACTAGCGTATGTGAAGAAACCTGTAGAAAAGAATAATAAGCGAAAATGTTGGTCAAGGACTCAGTAACCACACAGAATGTACTTATATGAAGTGATGAAAGCAATCAGTAACAATTAGCAATAACACAGGTGGGAAGTTAAGACATTACGACAATGGAAACTAGAAGTGCTATGGTGAGAATCCGAATTTTTTACAGCTATTAGAAACCAACTTTGACGCCTCTAGTTCGTGTAATAATGAATAAATCAACTTCTTTCTCTTTATTTTTGTTGTTTCGGCAGACTTCGATCTCGCTTAAATTTTGTTCCATGGAACCGAGAAGGTTGGAAAGTTGGACATTGTTTAGTTCCACCAGTGGATCATAAATACTGTCTATTAGCTCTAGCTAATAACACTTCTATTCATGAATCATTCACTTTTATTTTGGAACGATTCTATAAACTATATAGAAAAAAGGTATGCCAGGATTGGTTTTTCAATTTAAATGGCTATTTCTATTCAAAATCATGATGTGATTTACATTTATTACTAAGGTAAATTACTTCATTTAGATCGTTTCTTTAAAAAGTCAAATAGTTTTCACCAAAAAGACCACTGAAAACCAAGTAACGCTGGATATGCCGTCAACAAGGAGTTTTAGTAGAAGGTTGGAATCGGCAACAAATACTTTACTATAGCACATTATTAATCATTTTAGACAGTAAAGTGAGTGAGTTTTTAAACCAACGACTCGGTGGTGAAGTTCCCCTTGTAACATCCTAACGTTAGTGTAGTGAATGAGAACACGAGTGGGGACAATCGGATGTATTTGACACGAAAATTACAGACTATCTCAGTAAAGTCTGACAACCATACAGTAAACAGCTAATTTGCAAATTATCAATCACTTGACTCAATCTTGACCGTTCCTTCCGTAAATATCAGTTCCTCGTCTCCGATTATCATTGTTCATGCATTTTCATACTAATTGCGCTTCTTTCCCGTTCTTTCCTTCTCGACCTACTGAAATACATTCAATGCCCGACCATCACCATATACTACTTATGTGGATATAAGTAACCCACACCACAGTAGTAGCCGACTAGGGTCATGATGGATGGTAGTCCGTAAAGAATCGAAAGAGTTGTTGAGCTTTTTTAGATATTCAGCTAATGACTGGTTACTCTAAATAACAATACGTAAAGCTTGAATACGGTTTTGAGCATCAAATTGCACTAGCAAATGCTTCTGCTTAGGTTTAGGCACTCGGGCAGTATCACAGCTTATACACAAATCAAGTAACTTGTGTGGCGCATTTGTATTCGGTGCCCATTTGTACCAATATTTATGTGTTCAAATAAATAGATAAGCAAATGCTCATACGCTCTTATAAAAAAACAGTTCATATGTAACTTATGTATTACAATTATTCTGCTTATGAATAGCTAGGTCGATTGTAAACTGTTTCCTATTTGTCGACATATATTAAATCAGCCTTTATTCGTTATCGAATTCTTTGGGATTTAACTATCATTGTTGGGTTTATAACCTTCGATGTAAGTTTAACACAAGCTAATCGTTTGATTTACCCGACCTTGGGCATATTGTTTTGGTGACTTTGACAAATCATTGTAGCAAAATTCTGGGTATATTTTATCAAAGCACAATACAATAATTAGACTTGCCATTTATTGTATGTGTTATGTGAGAATAGTAGTAACAGAGACGTATCCGACCTAATTTACTAACGTAATGCCCTGTGAAGTCAACACAATTTGTTACGATATCATATTGAGTGCAAGTAACTAATTAATTCAACTTCTGCACAGCAAAACCATAAATAGCTCACCAATTACGAGCTAGACCGCTTTAACCGCGGGTAGCAAAATTTGTTTTGAGGTGCTTATCAACAATATCATTCATTAAACACCGTTCCATGTAATTTTTGTTATATGCCTCCAACAACTATGTTTGAAAATAACTGATATAGCGACATTATTTTCAGGATCATACTCATTATCATTGGCCGTCAGTCCGCTACAATGTAGGACCAGGCACATGTATGCATCGGTCCAAGTTGCCATACCTCATTAGCACAGCAAGATGAACACCTAATTTATTGGCCGTACCTAATACCTGGATGCAGCGGGTAGAACTTGGAGGTTTTGATGACACAAACTGTGTATCTTGAATACTTGTTTTTTGAGGCCCTATCATTGTAGGCAGGTTGGTTGAAGAACAGTAAGATTAAAGACCAAAACTCAGGGCATGAGGGCGAATTCGTATTGCTAGTCTTAATGTACATAAGTGTAACGACAGTTTAGTGTTCGCCCCAAACACTTGGGATTTACAGCGACGTTGCCTTTCCAGAATGGAAAGAAGGATAAAAATGATTAGCCTCACCTTGATCCACAGTGCTACAGGTATTCACAAAAAGACCGTGTATGTCTGATACCCAGTAGTCGTCCCTTATGGCCTAATATCATGCTCCCAGGTTAAGACCACTAGTTTTTTTACAGTCTACCAAAAAAACATCTCCCCATGGTATGGGCAGCTAGGAAGTGGCAATCAACATAATTTATCTAACAGCACTCGACATTACCTTGATTGCATATTAACTGTTTACGCGGTATAAAAACTAATTTTTAAGTTCTGTTTAGTAGTAAAATATTAAATCTTTAAAGTTATTTAGAATATGTCCTTGTCCTGTAAAGTAATATGAAATTAATGTAGAAAGTACATTATTCCAGTGCAGTAGATATAAGCCGATTCCTATACTATTTTCCTACTATAACTGTTTGCTGGAAAAGCCATGTTGTTTCACAAATTGGCCACTCAATCGTGTCTATTCGGCTTCCTGCTTTCTTCTTATTTGTCTGATGTAACAAGAGACCACTAAATGTCAAGATCCCTCTTCCACTTTCAACACACCCAAATTGAACTGTTATATATCATCAATACACTGTTTATGGACACTTTTTTCCCCAATAGTTACTGTTCCAATGATTAATAGCTTGCTTGTAAATTATTTTACGATCAAACAGTACAAGCCTATGTGCTTGACTTTGGGCGACATATTTTTAGTGTGAGGGCTAGTAACACTATCTGGCCGTTCAAAGTCGAAGTATGCAAATTGAGGATGAAAGCTGCGATCTAATATAAAATTGTCAAGCCACTAAACTATCACACCAGTAAACACTACATGATATCAACAACCATTTTAATTATCAATATGAGGTTGTAGTGTTTGTCAAGTTCTTGATTGAGACCATGAATCAATCGATGTTAGATCACCATTGAAAACCCGGAAGCTCTGGATGACCGTTACATCCTAGTACCAGACACCTCAACAACGCGCATCCATGACCTCGAGTGCGGGATTCCAACCTAGGTAGAGATGGGTATCTATCTCTGGTAATGGTCGCGCGAATCGTCGATTGGTTGAAATTAGACATTAACGCTGTAGATGTCAAGGTCAAGCGTTCGCGCGCAAGACCGTAGGTCCTGGGTTCGAATCCCGCGTGCAGTAATGAGGAGTCCCATACTAGGACGAAACGGCCACCCAGCGCTTACAGGTTTTTAATAGTGGTCTAACATAGATCGATTCACGACCTCAATCAAAAACTTTCTTAATGCTATGAAATTCTCTAAATTTACTTGTTTCATACGGCTTAAAATTTAATTGAAGTTAAAAAAAGAACATGTCGATTTCATTGCAGGCACATTTACACCATTATACAACTGTCGACGGTTTCGATACTGGCATGTTTGATTCAAGCGCTAATTCACTTCAGGAATTAATAATTCAATATACAGATTTTGAAAGACAGGCTAATGGACAAGCACTACCGAATTTACCACAGTTAGAGATTATGGATTGAATTAATTCCCGATTGTAAATGCACTTATTTTAGCAGAACTATTTCTTACAGAAAGTACTTTATTGCATTTATTAGCTTTTGTTATTCTTGTATATTTAATGCTTGTATAATTTGTGCTTATCCTTGTAAATGTGATCTCTATGTTACGAACTTCCTCGTTACGTCTTCAGACGATAATATAATTTAATCTTAGTAGAAAAAAACTACCACGTTTAGATGTACTTAAGTTATGATTTTCACGTCATAACAAGAAAATAACTAGTAAAAAGTGTCTTGTAGCAAACAAACAAAGTTATTGACTTGTAGTTTCACTTTTCGATTGATTGTTTCATCCATCAAGAAATATTGTTTTTTATATGTAGCATAACTCCGCCTGTAGCTCTTCTAGAATAATTGCCGGTCCCTAGCCCACACGAAGAAGGATCGTTGGGCGTGGGGTCTGCAAATCTTCCCGTAGAAAATTATGCTAAAAAAACGCTAACCAGAAGAAATGATTCAAACCATTTGAGGTCTGCCCTGGGATTTGAAGAAAGGATTGTGACATTTCATGATAAAAGCCGAGATCCTACGGAAGTCACGAGGACAATGCCCCTTCTACAAACGGAGCAACAATTTTTATAGGTACATGGAATGTCCGAACAATGTGGGAGACCGGGAAGACCAGTGAAATAGCAACGGAAATGAGGATATACAAATCGGCAGTACTTGGCACAAGCTGGACAGCAAAGGCTAAATACGGAAGAGATGCTGCTGTACTCCGGTCACATGGATCTCACCGGACCACACCACGGAGAACCAGATAGATCATATTTGTATCAACAAAAAATCCGAAGGACAATGTGAGACGTGAAAACAAGAAGTGGATCTGATATAGCTTCAGATCACAGCCTGGTTGTGACCAAGATGAAACAAAAGCTAATGAAACACTGGACATATAGCAGTGCAAAGGTTCAACACAGCCTTCCTACAAGATACAAACAAACTCAACGAATTCAAGATAACTCTCAACAACAGATTCCTAGCTCTACAGTATCTACTGAAAGAAGAAATTACGATGGAGGACAACTGGAAAGGTATGAAAGAAACATTAACTTCAACGTGTCACGAGGGGCAGTTCAACTGGCCTGCTGCTCCGGCAACATCAACCAGTTTGTCCTGCCCCCCATAGCCGGTGACGACTGATCCACCAAACGAGGCGGAAGTTCGCAAGGAACTCCAACTCTTGAAACGTTACAAATCACCTGGCCCAGATGACTTACATCCGGCTCGTTTTAAAGATGGTGGTGACCTTCTGACTAAGGAACTGACTGCGTTTTTTGCAAAGGTTTGGGAGGAAGAAAGTGTTCCAACATCTTGGAATGAGTCGATAGTCGTCCCTATCTTTAATAAGGGCTCACGTTGTTCCTGTAACAACTATCGGGGGATAAGTCTACTTCCGATTACGTCCAAACTATTGGCTTCTGTCATTCTTCGTTGGTTGTTCAAAATCCGAGAACGATTGACTCGCAAGGAGCAGGCTAGTTTTCATTTTGGTCGAGGATGCATTGATCACATCTTCATTCTCCGCCAAAAGTTAGAACACCGTCATACTTATCGCAGGCCAACAATCGTAGTGTTTCTTGTTATCAGGGCGGCCTTCGATTCGTTGGACAGGACTGTTCTCTGGAATTGTCTATTGAAGAAGGGTGTGCCTGAGAAGTTCATTAACATCTTAAAGGCCCTGTATACGAACACCTCAGGCAGAGTGAGGGCAACAACCGCCTTCCTCCCTTGTTCCATTCGAGCAGTGGGGTTAGGCAGGGTTGCCCAATCTCACCATTCCTCTTCAACTTTGCCATCGACGACATCCTTGAAACAGCTCTGATGGATGTAAGTAATGGCGGTGTGCATCTGTTGCCTGGAGAACGACCTCTCGACCTTGAGTATGCGGATGATATTGTCTTACTGTGCGATAATGCCCAAAGCATGCAATCCGCACTTAATCAGTTGGCAATCAGTGTCCGCAGGTACGGCATGTGCTTTGCACCCTCCAAGTGCAAAGTACTCCTACAAGACTGGCAGGATTCTCATCCTGTACTCACCCTGGATGGTGAGGAGATCGAAGTAGTTGAGAAGTTCGTGTATCTAGGTAGCTATATAAGTGCTGGTGGCGGCGTGAGTGATGAGATTGATGCACATATAATGAAAGCCAGAGCGGCTTATGCCAATCTGGGCCATCTTTGGCGCCTTCGTGATGTTAGTCTGGCTGTAAAGGGTCGGATCTACAGCGCGTCGGTGAGAGCAGTTTTGCTCTATGCTTGTGAAACCTGGCCTCTCCGAGTTGAGGATGTTAGACGACTCTCTGTGTTCGATCATCGTTGTCTCCGAAGGATTGCTGACCTACAGTGGCAACACCATGTTAGTAATGCAGAGGTTCGGCATCGTGTGTTCGGGCGCAGAGACGATAATTCAATTGGTGTCACCATCTTGAAACACCGACTTCGGTAGCTTGGACATGTTCTACGAATGTCGTCCCAGAGACTTCCACATCGTGCATTATTTGCCGACTCTGGGACTGGTTGGAAAAGGCGGAGAGGAGGTCAGTGTATGACATGGTGTCGTGGCATGAAAGAAAGCTGCAAATGGCTAGCTTCTGTTGGTCCTTCACGACTCCCTGGCTGGGGTCCGAGAGATGGTGCAACACAGTGGCTAGAGACGTTATCGGATATGGCTCAGAATAGAAGCCAGTGGCGATCCTGCTGTAACCTTCTTTTACTTTCTTCATAAAGAATGGTTCTAACTTTCTTAACTGAAAGAGTCTTCTGGTTGTACATTTCAGTCCGCCTTATCTTTTCATCCCTTCTCTTCCTAATTTCATTATTTTGTGTGGCGCATATGTATCTGGTGCCTTTTTGTACTAATATGTATGTGTTTAAATAAATAAATCGATGAACAAGTAAGATCATATGCGGACGTAAAGAGGATGTTTGAAAAAGCAAGGGTCGCATTCCTACAATTGGAAAACTTATGGAACTCAAATCAACTGTCTACCAATACGAACGTCAAGACAGTTCTACTGCACGGAGATAAAACTTCGAGAACTACTACAAACATCATGAAAATGGTAGAAGTATTTATAAACACTTGTCTAAGTAAGATGCTCAATGGATGACTGGATACCATCAGCAACAGCCTGTTGTGATAGATGACAAACCAGCTTTGAGCTGAAGAGGAAATTAAGAAAAGACATTGGAAGTGGATAGGACATATATTGAGGAAATCACCAAACTGCATCCTGAGACAAGCCCTAACTTGGAATCCTGAAGAAAAAGGACAAAGAACACACTGCATTGGGAATCGGAAGCAGACATGAAAAGGATGAATAGCAACTGGAGAGGATTGCCCAGGACAGGGTTGGATGGAGATTGCTAGTGGATAGCCTATGCTCCTCCACGAGGGGAGAAAGGTGTAAGTAGGTTTATGCAGCATATGACAATTTCATGCAGTTCCATGTAGGGATTTATAATGCGGTAGTATAGTTAGCTTACTTGAATGAAAAATTTGACCCTGTCCTATTCACTGAGATCCATCCCATACTGTGAGAGGAGAATACGAATAAGCATCATCAATAAGATAATCAAATAAACTTTGAAATAGTAACATTCGGATAAGGTTTCATTTTGTGGATAAAAGCACAGAAAACAGAAATACCTCATAATTAAGAGAAGTGAGCATTTCTAAAATAACTATTTGTAGGTAAATATAAACAGAAAAATGCTTTTAATGTTAGGCATTATAAGACAAATTATTTTCAAGGCAACATGCGGTGGGTTTTAATCGTTAAATTGGGTAAAATACTGACAAATAAAAGTTTTCATTAAATAAATCAACATGCATAAAAATTAGTAAATAAATTATTTTTTTAGAGTACATATTAGAAATGCGCATGTCTGATTTGTTCATTGTTACTTTAACTACTACTCGTTTTTCTCATTGGTTCGGGGTTTTCTGCACAAATCCATGCTCTTTTAAACGTTCTAAAGCTTTTTTAGCACATTCTCTTGTGCCTTCACGATCTTTCTGTTCCATTTCCCGAATACGTCCATCACTGCATCCGGGATACAAAGGTTTAATATCCGGTAGCACTTGATCCGCTGGATCGATATCTGGCAGTAGACTCAAGGATAATAGTACTTCAAACATGTTTGATTTGCAAAAGTATTCACCAAGAGATCGTTCACCATGTAAAATAAAGTTTTGCAAGATATGAGCTGCTCGATGTTGTAACGCGCATGAAAAGTGTCCAGCTAGTGTTTGAATAATTTCAAACCATGAGGATACCTATTTATTTTTTAAAAAAACAATGGACCGAAATAGTCTACAAAAATCAGGTTCATTAAAATTATCGCACTTTTGTTTTGTTTCCGATATGGAGAATATTATTTGGACGCATTAATATTTGTCGACAACATACAGCTTACTCGGGTTTAGATCTAAGAAAAACTTACGATGAGACTATGTACTATCAAGAAAGTGGTGAAATAATATATAGTCGAATTTTCAAGTTATTCACGATTTCTGAGTCTTAGTGCAATTGATGTAAGACTGTTCAATTTAGTGCCTGAAACAAGCATATCTGGAAAGCTATTAAATATTTAGAAAACATTTGAGGTGAAAAGTAAGCAAACAGTTGTATGTATCTCCCATATTCCAAACTAACAGCAGTGAAGTCCTGTCAGTCAAACTTGCTACAAATTTTGCCTTTGTTGTGGATGACGTTCATCAACCGTATTCCAAAGAAGTGCTTCATGGTAATGTAGATGTGATAACCTAAAATCACTTGAGTCATTGTTAGATTGTTTGCCATTCACACTCTATCATTCAAAAGAAAGACAATACCAGTGAACCACAAATCTATACTTACATCCGCGGTAAGTATCAAAACGTGTATTCAAATAATTTAATAAATCTCGCTGACAGTAAGTATTGATATTGAAAGTACAAATGAATAAGGTGAACAGGTAGACCATTAATGATGCAACATTATAAAATGAGTGGTGTTTATTAATTTAGATGTTGCTAAAAACCAAAATTGTTTACAAGTTTATCCTATAATCGGTCCGGATGCCTTAGCGGTAACACCTTCGACTGTAAAACTGGGTGACACGGGATCGAAGATTACAATTAAACATTGCTGACGAGCACGATATGGGTCGAAACATAGGTCTGGGATCTATTATCGACTACCTACCTCCAACCACCACCTTACGTTTCATGTATAGCCTGTTTGATAATATATACGAATTTTAAATGACACGAATGTAAATCGCATCACAATAATAAATGAACATTTAAACAATAAAGACGTAGGCGTTCATACACTTAACGGGTGAATAAAGGAAACAAATACTCAGTATCTGGTTGTTTCTATTATGTAGGCAACGTATTAATCGCACTTACCTTTCTTGATCACTGGTGGTTAAGGAGCTTGGCTTTTCGCCACTACATAGCACGTTCGAACCCCGCTTCACATACTTTAGTTTAGGCAACTGAGTAGTATCATTAGCCCACGTATTTAGAGTGTGATTCGCACCAGGTGCATGAGTTAATAATATACACATTATATATAGAGATGTTCGAACCAACACCAGGTATATTTATTTGAAAAAAATTTGGGCATTAGGTAAATGGTGATCGTTATTATTAGAAATTTTTACTCTTCAATGAGTGAAAAAATAGAAAAAATTCTGTTTTTATTAACGTTTCGCTATTTTAAGCTAATAACTTTAGCAAAGTAATAGCACATAACAGATTTCCAATAATGATGTATGTATATCTAATAGTCTGAAGGAACCTACTGAAATCGCTCGCCTGGAAGATGATCATGATAACATGAAATTATATCCACTATCCTTCTTATATTACTATTTTTACAGGAAGTAGTTTTGGAGATGGAATGTAACTCGTAGTGAAATTCAGGACGAGCGTTTCGTCATATTTGGTACTCATCAGCTGAATGTACCAGCTACACTTCTGAGTTGGTGTTCACTTCGAGACTGAAACCAAGTACTGTTCGATTCAAATGCCATCGCCTTGTTCACTTAGCTACTAAGTCCAGATAGCGTTTCATTTGTACAATGGGTATTATGTTTATTTAACTTAAAATGGTTTGGATTATCCTGTTGATGATATTTGTCACTGAAATTTGATCGGCTGACGAGTGCCGAGTAAGATGAAACGCGCGTCTTGGATTCTACTGCCAATCACATTCTATTTATTTTACAATAACTTGTCACAATGATTACATCGAGACAATTCGTACAGAATGCACATATGCCAACTAAGACTGATCAAATTTCAGTCAAAAATATCAAGAATGAGATAATCCAATGAAGTTAACGTAGCTTTGTTTGCAAGTCTCTAGCAACTATCTTCGTTGCAATGGAATTATATCATTGATACAAAAACGTTTTAAAAATCTACCCATAAATAAAACATGGTTAGTTCGCAATTTGATTTTGTGAATTAGAACTTTTTCTTTCCGTCGAACTCACATTAGTAATTTTCTTTATAATTCCTGGATCATATGACATACTGGCCAGAGCTCCGGAAGCTGCACGTACAAGAAGTAAATCATCTAATTCTCCACAATATAAAACGAGCAATTTTACACGTTCTGTAGAACATGTAAGATGTAATGACTTCTTGGCTATATCTGTATCATCCAAAGGAATAGTACCACCGGAAGATATAACAAAACTATGAGATTGAGCTAAATTAGCTACACATTCTGTTGCAGCTCTCCTGATCATTGGATGATCTTCAAAAAGACAATGATCAATCAAAGGTAATCCATGTTCTGCCATGATACGATAGCTGAGAAATAAACAAGAAACAATAGGAAATCATTGAAAAAAATGAATATCAATTAATCATACGAAATATTTTCGTTGAAGAATTTCTTCTGCATTGTAGAAAGTAATTAAAAAGATCTTTTTTTTTTCTTTACCTTTGTATCCCAGTGACCCTGAAAACAAATTGAATAGTAACGAACAGTATATCCTATTTTCATAAAACAGATTTATTTACCGACATAGGAAGTGGTATCGTTAATGTTCACAGCTTAGACGTCTTATAGCCGTTCAATGCTCTATGATTTTTAAAAAAATACATTCCTTATAAATAAGTTAAGTCTGAGAATACTTGTAAAATAACTAATTTAGTAAATCCCACCGAAAAGTCATCCAGAATATCACTATATTTTGCACTACAAGGAGTATTGTTTGTGTTTTGTATCCAACTGAATCAAGAATACAGCAATCATAATCATTACTTATGCACCAATCCGATAGCTACCATAAATCCCCGACTATTAACGTATATTTACTTAGTGTTCAATGTGTGAGTTAAGAAGGTTAACCTACTTGCTTTCTTCGAACTTTGATATCTAACCTTTCCTTATTCAGATTTTCATGTGAGAAATTGATGTTTTTCTGAGCATACGATAACACAAAATGACTTAAATTCTTATCCGATCTAAAATTTTGAATGCTTATTGTGCACATAAAAAGTAATGTCAGGTCATTTAAGCCTAACAATAATTTTATATTATACAGGTGGTTTGTAGAGGTTGTTGAATTTCATAGCTAATGCCACAGACGGCTCTTAGTTAACTATGAAATTCAATCTCCATAAACCCCATATATGATAATAACAATAATATGCTCCCAAGTGTCTAATTTGGAGAGGTAATTCCAGGAGTTTTAGTGAGAAGCCGTATCCAGTGGAGTTCAACTATGTCAGTTGTGGGACAATTACCCACCAGTGACATTAAAAGATGGCTCTGCAATATCGCAAGTTGATTAAGTTAGACACGTAAGCTATCGGATGCCGACTCAGTAGTCTAAAGATTGAACGCTAACCATAAGACCTAAAAGCTCAGGGTTTGATTGGCAGAGAAGTAGAGGATGCACACTGCTGAGGAGTTGAATACTATGACGAGACAGCAGTCCAGTAATTTCTGATTTTCAATGGTTGTTTAACTAAAATCATCCCGTGATGTTGATTATAGAAAAGTACTACTATATCCCTGCTTTATTACGAATGAATAACTATGAATAATGTCAGATGTGTGGAAACCAGCTAGCATCATATATTAAAAGTTCCATTACTTACCGATGTGTATCTCCCAATGAAGCTAGATTTGTTAAAGCCAATAGACCTTCAAAATTTTGTAGTGCATTACAATCTGCATGAATTAAATGAAGCAGTGGGCGAACAAGTTCTAAAGACTGGAAACGATATACAAAACCGAACGAAGAGACAACAGACATGAATCTCTTTAAGATTACATGTAACTTTTATACTACTCAAATGAATTGTAGTGAGATACAATATTCAAATATAAAAACACGTGTTGTGTGGTGGAATATAGTCAACAGGAAACCCTGATTAACCTGGGTTTTATGCTCGTTTGTAGTCGTTAGCAAGGTGTACCAGCAATCTTGAGAGAATCAATATTCCCCCAGTAAGGTTAAAATTAGCATCACCCAATTTGAAAGAATGAGAAGTCTTCATTGAGAATTCTAAGCTCAAAAGTGCGTTCAAGTTTGAGTATGGTTAAGCGTGTGTAGATGAAACGTTAAAATTGATATCTGTGTATTTAAACATAAAAAGCTTTATCGGACACATATTTTAGTTATGATAATTATTTTCTAAAAGTAAAGTATCCAATTATCCAGCAGAAAATCTGATTGCTATACTGGATGAATTATTTTCGGTACAGTATACTGCTTCTATCTTGTAGATAATTGGATAGAATATCAGTGAATACACTAATTCCAACTTATTAAACTTTAAACTATTACTTATTCAAAATGAGTAATTATGATTGGAAATACTTTACATCAGTTAGAAAATGTTCCCATTCAAAGTTATTTCATCAACAGTAGTGTGTATCTGCTGCTACATAAGGGATTAAGCCAGGGAACTTCACGTTTTGCAGAGCATAATACCTTTAGAACTGATCAACGACTTAATTGTTCACAAATTCACCATCACTTAATTCAAAATTATAAACGTGATTCCCAACTTTAGGAAATAAACATGACTAAGTAATATAATTAAACAGTTTTAAAAATTCCCATAGTGTGAATTAAAACATTATATATAAGCAAACAATACTGTTTTCGATTAGATCCTCATCAGGCTTTACTCTAATATACAGCAATATTCATTTGCATATACGAAATTATTAAAACATTCAAGGAAGTTTATGAGTCAACGATAACAGTGGAATAGATCACATAAATAAACATAATGAGTGAAAAGTACAAATCGATAGTGTGGTGACAGGTGTACTGGTTGTGACAAGAATAATAAAGCTTGAATCCATGTTTCATGAAACCGTAAGATGACGTAATCAGAAGTGTTCAGATGATTGGGCAATGAAGCATATATTTGCAAAAAAGGGGAGTGAAGAGAAATAAAAGAACTAAGAGTATGAAAAACAATAATAAATAAAATCGTCTATTAAGGCTAATTCGGCTGAGGAAGATATAAATGTGAATACAAAAACTTGGATTCTATCTTAGAGTAAGTCCTGATGAGGATCTAACTGAAAATAATATTGTTTGCTTATATATGTTATTCTAATTAAACAATTAACAACTACTTAATACCTTTTGTCCTGGAAATGTTACACGTGGATCTGCAGTGATAGTCAAACGAGCAAGAGCTTGAGAAGCTAACGTTTTACCTGTATCGGTATTGAAATCACTCTTTGATAATTTAAGAAGAGCTTTCCCAGCACCACTTTGTACAAGTTTACCACGACATTCAACTAATTCGGAACAGGCTAAATAAATGCTTTAAATGAAAAAATAACAAGTAATTAGTGTTAAAAGAAAGAGACACTGTAAGGTTATTGTTGTGTTCTTACGGCAATGTTTATGTATCAGGTGATACGACCGCCAATTAGAGACATCGACTAATACGACCAGACTAATGACTCATAAGCTTATACGATGTGCCTAGAGTTTTTACTAGTCCTAGCTTCTCTCCTAACCCAGCCGGTTTAGTCCAGAACGCTAATATCAGCCTCCGCTATACGAATCATATATTTCAGACATACGTGGTTTATATACAAACAAACAAGACATCATACCATAAAACAGAAAATAACAATCATACAAGATAAAGCCGAAAAGTGGCTGTGATTGTGAGAGATTGTCACAAATAAATTGGGAATATCTTAATCGCAAATCGTAAAACAATAGGTCAAATAAAAGCCCATAATAAAAGGAATATGAATATGCATATAATAATTACTTAATAGTTATAGATTAGAATAGTTCACAAATAGATCCTAGAAGTTACTATTCTCCTATTCTTCGAGTGGATATAACAGTTATAGATGAACTTTTTTAAAATATGCTGACTTGATAGTTAATATTCGATAATCAAAACAGAGAACGGTAATTTTCTGATTGGTTTAAGACACAATAAAATTGACTTCATTATCAGTTACCTAAACTCTATATAATGAAAAAAAACTGAGATGCTTTAACAAACAAAGCGAATTTACAGAAACCACTAACTTTTACTTAATATGTAGGTAAAAACTTTATACTGTTAACTACATGGAGAATCATTGAAAATCGCACGTTTCATAACATTAAAGCCATTTTAATTATAGGTCATTTTGTATGAGAAATTTCACGACTAACTACATAAGTATCCGTGAGTCAATTAATTAGTTTGCTTTGTGATTGCTTATAATCGTATAATAAAATTTTATATATTTATGATGTGTTGCGTAAAAACCATACATGTTACATGATGCCTGGATGTTGCATAGTGAGATCCATGAATGGATAGTCTATTCTGAGTGAGTAAATTACTTACCTATAACTAATATCATCTTCTACATATCGTTATTTTGGTCACCATCAAGTTTCCTGGTACGGTCGATGGTGGGGAGAGTCATCCCTCTCTCGAAATGCTCTTACATGGCCATGCGTATACAATCACTGTCAGGGAAGTCCTACTCATTGTCTTCTCGCGGTGAGGGTGTTGTTTGCAAAATTGAGGGGACGAAAAACGAATGTACGGCACTCTAACTGGGTTAGTGAATATTGAGGATCCACCTGGAGGAGCTGGAAAACCCTGATTCCAAACCTATGGTGCATATGGACTCCAGGATCCTGAGGGAACGAATGGCGTATGAACCAATTATCGGTCACCAGCTACCAGGGGACTGGATCTCCTGATCTTGCTTTACTGCCTTGTGGATCAAACCTTTAGGTCGAAGGCTCCGGGTGTGGTCTCCTAAGAAAACCACCTGCTTCGGTCTGGATACCCCGTTAGTACCACAGCCCACACACAAATCAAGTGACTTGTGTGGCGCATATTTATTCGGTTCCCCTTTGTACCAATATTTGTGTTTAAATAAACAAATAATATTTGGCCAGTTAAATCACTGACAAATATACATGTAAGTTTTAAGCATTATTATCCGGCTTTAGATACTCAGGCTACGAATGTGATTTTGCTGTTCTCCCTTTAAGTGAACGTGTTAGTCAAGCGTCGAAAATGCGTAGAGTAATTAAACCAGACAACAGACAATAAAACTTTGCTTCAGTATCAACGGAAGACTTAAGAGATATAGATAAAATAATTATGATAAATAAATGATAATAAATGATAATAGGCAAAGGATCATTCGGACTTCTCATTCGCGAGAATTCTGTGGTCAGTAAGGTAGGAAAAGACGCAGGGAAGGGGAATTAATAATATCTATTGAAGTGAAGGTTTAAACAAAGCTTAAGAAGAACGAATTAAAAGTACTGGATGATAATATGTTTAAGATTTATGGAAAAATAAAGAATGAATGCATATGTGCCAATACGACTGATTCCAGGGGATGATGTCCAACGTCTCCAAATATAAACTATGACCTTTTTGCAAGTTGTAATAGGAAATTTAAATCACCTAGAAATACTCATACAGATGAACTCCATTGGGATCTTTTAGTTATCCATCAATCTACGCATTTGTTAGCCATCAAAAATGAGTCAGAGTAGTTACTGATTAAACACACGTAGTAGATGTCTCGACTATCAACATCCATGAATATTTACAGCCTATAAAATCAAGTCAGTAGTTCCGTCATACATTTTTGAAGTGAAAACAGATTAATTCTATTACCTCTCAGAATTGTTAAATCACCTGCCTAAAGAGGTAGATCCACACCCTTCAAATATATTAAGTTTGAGGAACACTGATAGTTGTAGACAACAATCTTGTTCAGGTCCACAGAATCATAAAAGTTGTAAATGTAAAGGTATTTAAAGTGAAAAACAAAAACAAAGTATTTTCAGATATTAGTCCACTGCTAACTTATCAATAAAATGTTTAGGATAGATTTATCACACAGTCGGACAGTTATTATCAACGTAAGGTCTGACACAAAAGTACATTAGCCCACATTCCTATAACACATAGGCAAAAAAGGTTAAATTAAGAATATAAATCTCAAGAGTCAAAATACTAGTAATATTAAGGACCAATGACCGATATATTTTTTATTTTCGGAATACCTATGGTAAGATTACAGTATTCCTAAATACTACAGTGAATAATTTATATATAACAATATAGGAAAGGAAATAAAGTTGCTGAAATGTATGATAGATGTCCTTAAACTTTAAATTCTATGCTAGGAATAAACGAAGTTTTGTCTAGAGCAGCCATGAGTCTAAACTATAGAGGATCTTTTCAATATAATGAAACACGAGATTTTACTGTTAGGTGTTTAGAAGGGATTACATGAGTGTGTGTATTGCTGTCTCAAAATAAAGAGGAAACATCCAACATTTCATGAACTAACTTACCGAGAAATTAGTTCGGACAAACCCTGATTTGATCCGACCAAAGTAGTAGCTATACGCATTGTCAACTGATATAATGAAGAAGCTAGACCCATATTGACTAATTTTTGACGACGTTTTTGAATATATGCATCTGAATCGTATGGATGATCTTCTGGAATATGTTGTTTAGAAAATTTCGCTAATTCAAGGATTTCTGGTTCAATCTGTTGACGTTCAAAACTATTCGTTAAATGAGCTAAAACACTGCACAAAGCAAATGATGAGTCTTTCTGACAATGCTAAAAATGATTTTAAACAAAATTTAAAAGAGCTATGTGAATAGAAAGTTCACATAGGATCAAAAGATGGTGCTGTGAAAAAACTAACCATCGTTTCTCTAAAATTATCTAACTGGATACCAGAAGTCATAGTTTTGAAATTCAAGTTTATTGAAAAATATCCCCCCCCCAAAGACTTTATATATTATTTATCAGTAATCTTTGAAAATTGAATCAGCTACAGATTAAACAGCATTCTTCAACCATCATTATGTATACGTATATCATAACAAAAATGATTCATTGATTAATTAAGTAGTTTGTGTAATTTTGTTCCAACTCAAAACAGCTTTTATTGTAAACTGAAATATATTTCGACATCACTAAAGACCAAGTAGTATCAAAAATATCTTTGCTTGTAGTCTGGGATTTCTCAGCATTCGACATCCACTATTATACATGAAAAATAATCCAGAATATCTAAATTTTACAGGGCGACTGACCTTATTCGTCCACTGGGTTGTAATGTTATGACTGAAACCTTTGTCAAAAATAGGATACATTTCCAAGAATTGATAAAATATAAACAAATCGATTGTTGAATAGTAGATGAGCAACATACATCTCTATTTTTAAGCAGGAAACCGTGCCTAATAGCATCAATGAACGTGGATGTTTCAAACGACGTTGATCGATAGTTGCGGTGAATTTTAAATGACTTGCGAAACTGAGATCATCGTATTTCAACTTGATAGGATAAAGAGTACTGTGCTCATTACGAGAACTGAACTTTTGTCCAGATTCAATAATCATGAGCTGGGACAATCAGACATATCAGCTCAAGGCCAAGTGATAAATGTTGACAGGTGCATGCTATTAACCAAGGTTTGACTTGATTTCCTGAGGGGAACAGACAAATATCAATGGCGAAAAACTGATCCAAGTTTCTGAGAGACACATCTATATTAATGAATGAGTTTGTATTTATATGTAGATTCGAGTTAGTCAATAATAATTCCCTACTCATTCTTAGTTTTCTCTCCCAAGTAGCTGGTCGAGCTTGCTCATAGGAAGCGTAAATTACGGCAGTAGAGCTAAACGACCGCCTAACACAAAAAGTACCCTGTAATTTTGTAACTGCATAAGGTTTCTTTAACTACGCATTATGCATCCAACAAATGGAATAAATCGTAAAGTCATTTTACACGATATAGTAATTTCTTAAAAAAACTTGGGAATATCAGCAATATATTTGAACGACATAAGTCGTTTTTCAAACAACACTTGCTGAACAGAGTAAAATATCAATGAACTTAAAATTGTCACGAAGACAATACATGAAGTCACAAATCTGGTTTTCCTTTTATTATACAACTAAACTGAATTATTTCAGTACCCGTGAGCTTCAAAACTAACAACCTTGCTCATGAATGGTTAATTAGAGGTTAAGACAACAAACAATTAACTTTATCAAGTGTAATGTTTTATTCACAGTCCCAATCATTAATTTTTACATGACTTAATAAACTAAAAAAGAGTCTAGTTATTTACGAATGGGAACGTTACAACATTATCTGATATATGATCAAGAATTAAGCCTGATAGTTAGGCATTAATCCCATTGGAGAGTAAATGACCTATTGTTAGTTGTCTTATCTTCCAATCGTTTATTTATTGAATGATATCTAATCAAATTTATTTTTGTGTTTAATATTTTTCGTTCAAGCGAGTAATTTTGTTGTAAGATATATTCTCTACTTCTGGTTAATGGTATTGTCTTTTAATATCAGTTCATTCAAGGATTTCAGTTGATAATTCTGTCCCATCACTAAGCCGATTTCCATTAGCAAATCTTAGTGGAGCATCATTATCAGCATATAACAAACTAAAACCATGTATATTGAATTCCTTTACAGTGAAAAAAAACACGTTGAAAACTACAAAAATTTGTAAAACAATAGGTGGAAGTATAACATACTTCAGGGAAACTTAATAAAGCTGACACTAATTCACCATCGTTAATTATTTCCTCTTTAACATCTGCATTCATTGTTATATAAGCCATACCTTCAACAGCCCAATGAGCAGAATCTAAGTCATCGAAATGAATAGTACTAGTAGTAGAACCATTTACAGGTTTGTTATCCTTTTTGTTCTCCACTGGTTGACTAACTGATACTTCTTCAATTTGAATTTCATCATCATTCTCATCTACAACAACTTCTCCTTCAGAATTAAAATGAACATCGGCTGATTTATTCGCAGCAATATCATCTACATCAGGATCTGGTTGTCGTTTACCCAATAACAGCCGACGACATGCTTTGAGAAGAAGTACATTAGAACCTTCTGTGAGACTTTTCACACTAGCATCTGTACCACCAGCGGCACCAAGTTTACATAAAGCCTAAAATAATAATATGTAACCAGTATTAAAATCTGAAATGAGTGATAAGCACAAAAACAAGTATATTAGATGGTATTTATAAATATTTTTTAATTGGTAATATGATGGATGAAAATCAAAAACTTCCTACGTAGTTGGAGTTAGTCGGGAGAAAACCCTGGACATACGCTTCGCACTAGTTGACACTCGTCACCAAGACATATTTTCAGTTTGATTAGCGCCACATAGCTCAGTGGGAACATCTCAGACCACCAAGCTGGATGGTGCGAGGTTGAACACCCCAAAGGGTACTAGGTCCCTCGTGATTCCAGACTTCCCTTCATCGGGAGTACCAAGTGACAGGTAACTTAAATTGAGGCTGCTTACTTCCAGGTACAAATCGCCGGCGATGTTAAGCAACAGATTAGTGGCTACACTGTAACGTGATCGACAGATTTTGGTTATATTAAAGGATGGGATAAACGTGACATTGAGAGCTATTCAGTGATCAGTCAATTGTATGAATCAAGTCTCGTAAGTGGCTTACGAAACCGTATGGTAATGTTTCAGATAAATTCTAGCCATGTTTGTTCTAGAGTCTGATATTTTGTCTATAAGTATATCATTTGACTAGAAAAGAAATATTTTCCGCTAATCAATTGCGTTGTCTTACGATATCTGTTTATTTGACAGACTACACCACTAATTCATTATTGCGAGCAGTTATCAATCGGCTATATAGTATCATTGTGAATCATTCATTTATAAGCAGTCTATTAATCAGTTTAACAACCTAATCGAGCTCATCATTAAAATATAAAACTAACCGAAACAACATGTTGGTTTTAGCCGGATAGAGTCCTGACTATATTATGCTGTGCACATGCTTCAATAAGAGTATGCCAATTTGTCCCTTTCCAACTAATCAACGCTAGCAGATGGATCTAGGTACTGAAAGTTTTTGTTGTGAATTCTACATACATTGTAATATTTTACTACTCTGTTTTTGTTAATGGAATCATTAGGACACATATTGTTGGACCACAATTCTTGTTCTGATTTAAGAAATGTTGAGTGAAGTATTTTAGTCACGGAATATTAGACAGTAGAGAACCAGTTAATTAAAGGAAATTATAAATTTCTCAATAAGAACACATCAACACACATTATGACTAAGATTTTCTAAATCAGACTGTGGAAATGCAGTTCATCGAGATAAGCAATTAACTGAATAGTTGGACATGAGGTAAATGAGAAAATTTGAAAAATATCCCATATTTTCATGTTACAAATTTATCAATCTATGGAAATTAGATCCCACAAAAGTGAAAAGCAACTGATAAACAAATAAGATTGGTTTAACAAAGACTTTTACTTTCAAGCGAAATCATTCTTATAGCTGTATAATGACAAGCTCAATTATTGAACAGCTACAAACACGGATCATTTGATCAAAACAGACACATCTACCTAAGTCAAAGTGAAAAGAAAACTATGCAAACTGGTGATATTCTGTCTTCGTTGCATTCATGAAGCTTTTGCCAGAACTATGTGTACAAAAAGACTACCATATTCGTAACCCTCAGTTTCCCACAGCCACCCTTTCTCCCCGTTCCTCATCTATTCTTTTGACCTTGCTTTTATCCCCCCCAACTGACGTATTTGTTTTTCTATGCCTTTTTGAATCTATTTCACATCAATTTCAAAATTCCCCTTGTTTTATTACGCAATCCATTCTACCAATTTATATTTTATGACAATCTTGATAAATATTCAACCTCTTAAGAGGTACACTTTTAGTCCTTTTACAGCTAATTACATCGTACTGTGGTGTAAGTTACTCATATCCACATAAGTAGTATATAACGAAGGTCAAGTGCAGAATGTATTTCAGTTGAAGATCGATAATGGGAGAACGGGAACGAAACGCAATGGGTATGAAAATGCATGAACAATGAAATCTGAGACAACCGACTGATATTTGCGAAAGCAACAGTCAAGTTTGAGACGATGGATTGTTATTTTGCAAATTAACTATTTACTACATGAAGAGTCCCGAATAGGACGGAACGGGCGCCCTGGATTCCACTGCTAGCCACTATCCGTCTCTGCTTATAATGTTCGTGAATTAAGGATATATCGAGGCAATACATACAGTATGCACATATGCCAATAAGAGACTGATCAATTGCAGTCCTAAACATCAATGGGAAGATTCAATAAATAATACCAAGTGAATTTATTCACTATATGGTTCTCGGATTATAGTGAGAAATTCTGTAATTTTGTGCCCAAATACATTCGATTGACCCCATTCGTGTTCTTGTTCACTACAGTACTATCTCATTAGTTTTTTTTCACTATATTGTTGCTATTATCGACAAACATATTATTTGATTATCATAATGTAAAAACAGTATACATTCGCGATAGTACAGCTATGAGAATGAGTTCGCAGAAAATAGTTTATTCTTGTTATCTCAATGGATTTTTTCCATTTGTTTAACAATCATCAAAAATTTGTAACGAATATAACCTATAAATTAAACCAATTTACACAAAACTCCTTCAAATAAAACTATAGTAGTAAACTCACTAGTAACTTCAAGATTTTTCGGGATTTTTAGTGAGATATTGTGATTGTTGAAGTTCAAGTATGTAAGGAGTGACACAGTTTGTTACTAATAGCATTGTAAAATCGTTAGACTGTTTTTTGAATTGATCGAAGTGGGTATTGTATCATCGAACCCTAATCTGATAATTTTAATGATGAAGGGCTCACCATGAGATCTGAAAGTCATGGGTTCGATTACCGGCGAGGTCATAGGTGTGCACCGCCAAAGAGTCTCATACCAGAACGGAATAGCTTTCTAGTGCTCTCTGGTTTTTAATGGCACCCCAATTGACGATCAATCTGTGACGAATACATCTTAGAAAATAAAATAATCTCCACAAAATTCGTTCAACTAAAGAACTTATTTGTAAAAATAAAGTGTCAAAATTGTTTGCAAAAATAACTTACAACAAGTGCGCGAATTCTAGTACCATCATTTTCACTTTTGTATAATGATTGTAATAAAGGAACAGCTTTAGAAATTATACTTAAACATTGTTGTTTCTTATGTGTAGCAATTACAATTGTATCTAATGCAATTGTCTGAAAAGTAATGCATAAATACACAAAAACTCATTGAGAAAGGATTAAATAGAGGAAGCAAGCATGACAAAAAGGTGATAATTTAACACAAGAGAGAGAGAGAGATGAGCATGATTACAAATTGGATGATACGGTGAAGGCATCCTTTTATATTTATTCAGAACAAATATCGTATTTTAAAAATGTCCTTTGATGTGTCATTCGGCTTAAAATCCACAATTAAAATCACAATATCTATTTATTTCTGTATAGGTTAACAAGAAGGAACATAAGTTTTCATTTCCACAGATGAGTGCGATCATGAATCTACCCCGTTCACCAAGTAATTACTTTGGCATGTTGTGAATAAGACATTGTAAAACCAGTTGAACAGACTAAGTTAGTTAGATAAGCATATGTCAAACACAATTCGTCATTTAGTCATAAGGTTTAGATAGACAAAAACATTAAACTGAATATTTGAGAGCAATCATACGACAACAGCTTCCAATAGCCACATACTAAAAGCAATATGCTCTCAGTCAGATTTTTTATTTTATTTTATTTAATCACATACATACTGGTACAAAACGGCACCAGATACATATGCGCCACACAAAATAATGAAAGTAGGAAGAGAATGGATGAAAAGATAAGGCGGACTTAAATGTACAACCAGAAGATCTCTCTCAGTTAAGAAAGTTAGAACCACTATTTATGAAGAAAGTAAAAGAAGGTTACAGCAGGATCGCCACTGGCTTCTATTCTGAGCCATATCCGATAACGTCTCTAGCCACTGTGTTGCACCATCTCTCGGACCCCAGCCAGGGAGTCGTGAAGGACCAACAGAAGCTAGCCATTTGCAACTTTCTTTCATGCCACGACACCATGTCATACACTGACCTCCTCTCCGCCTTTTCCAACCAGTCCCAGGGTCGGCAAATAATGCACGACGTGGAAGTCTCTGGGACGACATTCGTAAAACATGTCCAAGCCACCGAAGTCGGTGTTTCAAGATGGTGACACCAATTGAATTATCGTCTCTGCGCCCGAAAACACGATGCCGAACCTCTGCATTACTAACATGGTGTTGCCACTGTAGGTCAGCAATCCTTCGGAGACAACGATGATCGAACACAGAGAGTCGTCTAGCATCCTCAACTCGGAGAGGCCAGGTTTCACAAGCATAGAGCAAAACTGCTCTCACCGACGCGCTGTAGATCCGACCCTTTACAGCCAGACTAACATCACGAAGGCGCCAAAGATGGCCCAGATTGGCATAAGCCGCTCTGGCTTTCATTATATGTGCATCAATCTCATCACTCACGCCGCCACCAGCACTTATATAGCTACCTAGATACACGAACTTCTCAACTACTTCAATCTGCTCACCATCCAGGGTGAGTGCAGGATGAGAATCCTGCCAGTCTTGTAGGAGTGCTTTGCACTTGGAGGGTGCAAAGCACATGCCGTACCTGCGGACACTGATTGCCAACTGATTAAGTGCGGATTGCATGCTTTGGGCATTATCGCACAGTAAGACAATATCATCCGCATACTCAAGGTCGAGAGGTCGTTCTCCAGGCAACAGATGCACACCGCCATTACTTACATCCATCAGAGCTGTTTCCAGGATGTCGTCGATGGCAAAGTTGAAGAGGAATGGTGAGATTGGGCAACCCTGCCTAACCCCACTGCTCGAATGGAGCAAGGGAGTCCGCTCTCCCTCTCGAAATGCTCTCACATGGCCACGCGAATATATAGCCTCTGCCAGGGAAGTCCTACTCACTCTCAGTAAGAAGACACAAGCTTATGTGTCTATAGGGAAGTAAATTAGTTATGAATTTGATCTGAATGCTAGTAACATAGTTAGGACTAAACTGCTTCAAGAAACTTTCGTAAGTTTGGATCATCAGATCCAGATTAAATAAAACTATCAATTTACTATTTGGTTGATGTAACCTTTTATCCGCCAAGTCGCAGTAAACTGGTCATTTTACCTCGATCTGTTTTGAGCACTGACTGCTGACGCTGAGGCTTTATCATCTTGATTGTTCGTGAAGCTATGACTTACTGCATAATCACATATCTATATACATTAAAATAAGTAAATTCCGAGAAGTAAAGATAATCCTTTAACCTCAACTATGATATTCCGATGAATCTAACACAATATGACAAAACTGGCAACAACGATCAATAATCAGTAAATACAAGGGGAAATTAACATGGTTCATATAGATGAATATAGTTTATTCTTCCTTTAAACCGAATAACGAAAACCATTCAGTCGCTTCCAATAGTAATTCTAGGTTGATTAACAGTGCATTTAAATGATTTTATTTCTGTCAAATAACCATATTTCACAGTCACAGGTCAGTGTCATTGTCAAACATTTCCGAAACTCAATGAAACATAAAATGCTAATTCGGAGCAACCGTACTCGTTATTCATATTGTTTAGTACAGTTTGTATTCATTAATATTGTATCAATTCACATGGGTCATACAGACAAACTATGAAATAGACAATCAAGATCAAATAGATTGTCATTTTAATAATTGTAAATAATAATGAATTATAACCGATGGAAATCCTTTACGTTGGACCATAAATTTTAAAGCTATCTTATCTGTTCAGAGCATTCATTCTCTGTTGTTTGTGCCTAATCTTTTTCTACCATCACTGATATTGTTGGCACTCATGCTTATACTCTCTTGCATTTCTCCTGACAACGCAACAACTCGAACTGATGAATCTGTGTGCTAGGATTACGTTGCTTATGATTATGACCACAATGAAACAACTTACCTGATAAAGTTTATTCTCACATTGTGTAAGAAGTAATAGACCATCGAAAACCCCTTCTTGAGAAATTATTCCTGATCCAACTTCATAAGGTCCGAGAAATAATGTACCAATAACTGAGGCAGCCTCAACCTTACTTTCTATATAGTTATCAGCGAATAATTCACTAGAATAGAAACATTTTTCTTAACAAAATTACAGACGTTAGTAAAAATACAAGCAATCAAACCACAGCTAATATAAATTAAAAGTTTTGCAAATAAGACAGTTAATTAGCGGATAAATGACTGGTCAATGAGTGGTGATTAATATCATGTTTGTTTAATTTTTTAGTGCTGACCGAACTCTATAAATCAGGCTGCAATATGGCAACCAGTCTGAATGACTCGATATCATATCCACTAACAGCAAGCTAAAAAAGTATGACACTAATCAAGGTACAAAGAAGCACCAGATACATATGCAACTCACAAATCTCATTCGATTTGCTTGAGGGCTGTGATACTGCTCAGGTGCCCAAACCGAAGCAGGTGGTTTTCTTAGGGGGCCATACCCGGAGCCTTCGACCTAAAGGTCTGATCCACAAGGCAGTGGAGCATCGTGAGGCGATGCATTCCCATGGTAGCCGGTGACCAAAAATTGGTTCATACGCCATTCGTTCCTTCAGGATACTGGAGCCCATGTGCACCATTGGTTTGTAATCAGCGTTTGCCAACTCCCCTAGGTGGATTTTGCGTGTACACCAACCGGTTAAAGCGCCGGACATTCGCTTTTCGTCCTCTCAATTTCGTAAACAACAGTAGTGCCACGAGAAGGCAGTGAGTAGGACTTCCCTGGCAGAGGCTATATTACGCATGGCCATGTGAGAGTATTTCGAGAGAGAGAGCGGACTCTCCCCACTCTCGGCCATATCAGGGCATTTGGCCCCCAAATGACACTGATCATTATTCAGTGATCAATCAGTTGTTAATTTCTCAGTCTTACAGGAGGTCACTGAGGCTCTAATAGCTTAGTGATAGTGCCTTAAACTGTGAAGCTAAGTGGCGGGTTTCAGATCCTACAAAAAGTATAAGTTCCCTTCAGATCGCAGGTATGTCCTACAGGTAACTGTCAACTATCATGGAACTGAAGCCCGAGAGTTTTTTATCGACTACCTTCAACTGCCTAACATCAATTAATACAACTCGATTTACCAAGTATGTATTTAACTATTCGGCTTTTAGAAGTAAACTTTATGCGTAAAGGTTACTGGTATTACTACTAGGCTGTTCAAACCGAGGTAAATTTAACGGGACTCGAACCTGAAGTTTACTACCGGCTGGAAGCCGAGTTCTTCAACTATTAAAGTATCGCTCAATCAAATAAGACAATACCGTACTAAACAGATCATTTATTTTTCTGATTATTTGTAGTGTATTTACTCAGTTCATGGCAAAAATAATTAAAGCCCCATCTTCAAAACGTCAGTATAAAAACAATGAAATTAAAACTCAAGTTAAAGATGAATTATGATTGTTAGTTACTTAATAGTTTGGAAAATACACAAAGGGATGTAAATAGATAATAATCTTATTTTTATTCAAGACATTTAAAAAAGACCAATATCTACTTTTTTAACAAGGCTACTTTCATATCGAAGCTCTGATATTACAGGGAACTAAAAAGTGATGTTTAAATGAACGTAGAGCTTTCACAGTGGTTGGTAATGTTTCATCCCGACAGTTGCTGCTACCTTGACGTGGTGGTCGGGCTTGCCTATCGTGATGATTTAATCGGGCTATACTGGCTGTAACAATCGTTCCTCAAGGTACTACCATGCCAGCCAGGTCGTTTGAAGAGCGGTGAGACTAAAAGCAGCAATCCCAAGGTCCGAAGGCGAAATCGTACTGCTGACTGTACAGAGGTATGACAGCAGTAAGGTGTCTCCTTCAGACAACCAGCATGACAGCGCTGCTGTCTTCCCACAAGGAGGGGTGGGGTTAGAAAAGGTCGACCCTAAAAATGCACACCTCACCTTATCCCACGGATATCCGTCTCCGGCGGTAAGGTCCTTTGAAGGACGGAGCTAACACAAAAACTACCCACAAAAAGGTCGTGTGTGACCGACCTCAAGCAGTTGTCCCTTGGGCACTGCGGTCACGCTCCCAGGTCATTAAGACCACTTCTAACCCAATTTCCTTTTCAGGTACCCCTAGAAGAACCCTTCCACGGTGTGGGCGACCGGGAAGTGATAACCGCCCTCACACCTCTAACAGTACTCAAGATCACTGTATTCATAATCAATCTCCCTCTTCAATTCCTACTATTCCTTCTACCTTGACTTTCAACACTAAACTTCCTGTTCCGGTTTCCTCCTCAAGTGTCACCATGGCCAACGATTCTAGTGCGCGAAACGCTGTCCCAGGTCTACTAAAACCTCGCTCCAAACTACACATTGGAGCCTTCAACGTACGTACTTTAAGTCAAATCGGTAAACAGGCCTCCTTATCTAAAACCCTAGAATCTCGTACCATTGATGTATGTTGTGTCTCCGAAACAAGCATACAGGATCCTAGTGTGGTCATTCACTTGACCTCACCTCGCCAAAATGGACAGACAACGAAATACACCCTCCGTGTATCTGGAGACCCGTTGGCTAGTTCTCGTGGACTTGCAGGTGTAGGCATAGCACTAAGTAAAAGGGCAGAACAGGCACTACTAGAATGGATACCCGTTAACAGTCGCCTGTGTGCTGTCCGGCTAAATGGCTCCGTAAGAACTCGGAAGGATAGGGACGCACATCGTTTCTGCCTACGCTCCCACCGACTGCAGCCATGATGAAATGAAAGATGACTTTTACAGAAAGATCTCTGAGCTTCTTCAGAAAGCTAAGTGCTCAGACATAGTAGTCGTAGCGGGTGACTTTAATGCCCAGGTAGGCAGCTTGAATCAAACAGAAAGACATTTAGGTGGGTGTTCTAGTATTCCGGCTCAACGAACCGATAATGGTGATCGTCTGTTGCAACTATGCTCAGACAATTGTTTATTTTTAGCAAGCACTAATTTTAAGCATAAGGAGAGACATCATCTAACATGGCGACCACCTGCACCAAACCAACGATGGACTCAAATAGACCATATTGTCATCAGTCATCGTTGGAGAGGCTCAATAGAAGATTGTCGCTCGTATTGGAATACTTGTTTAGACTCTGATCACGCTTTAATACGAGCGCGCATTTGTCTGCGCCTCAATGGACGCAGGAAAAGTACACTAAGAAGACCCATTAGGATTGAACTGGAGGACGAGAAAGCCAAATGCGAATTCCAGAAACAACAGAGTTCACATCTAGGCAGTTCTGTAAACGAGACTGACCCGGATGCTGCTTGGAAAGACACACGAACAGCTGTGGAAACAGCAGTAACATCCATTAGTTATTTAAACCATAGGGTTCCAAGAAACCAGTGGATTTCCTCTAAGTCTATTTCACTGATGGATTTGCGTAAACTCATCCCATCAGGCTCTGAACACGACGAAGAGCGTATACAAATCAAATGTAGGTCGACTAAAAGTCTAAGGAACGGTCGTGAGCAGTGATGGGCAACGAGAGCAAAAGAGATGGAAAAGGCAGTGGCTGTAGGCAACACCAGGCAACTATTCAGACTAATAAAAGAAACCGGAATTAAGAAGTCAAGTGTAGGTGAAACAATATCGGAAAAAGACAGAACCCTTATCTGCTCTCAACCCAAACGTTTAGAACGATGGGCGGAACACTTTAAGGAGCAGTTTAGCTGGCCTTCAGCTACTGCACAACTACCCACTATTCCCAGAAAACCTGAATGGAACATTGAAGTAAGCCCTCCGACCCTACCTGAAGTACAAAAGGCTATAAGTATTCTGAAACGATGAAGAGCAGCTGGTCCAGATGGATTGGCTCCAGAGGTCTTTAAATATGGTGGTCCAATTTTAGCAATTAAGTTGACTAATATTCTGGCTAAAATCTAGGAGACGGACGTAATCCCATCTGACTGGTCACAATCTCTGATTGTCCCAATATATATGAAGGGGCCGAAATCATCCTGTGATAACCATAGAGGGATTAGTCTGACTAACATAGCATCTAAAATACTAGCCTCAATAATTATCGAGCACCTAACTAAGACTTGTGAACTGCAAACACGAGAAAATCAGGCTGGCTTCAGACCTGGTCGTGGCTGTATCGACCACATATTCACCATTCGTCAAGTTTTAGAGCACAGACATGTTTATCGGCGTCCGACAATGATAGTTTTTCTTGACATGAAAGCAGCATTTGACTCTGTAGACAGAGAGGTTCTGTGGCAGTGTCTGTCATTGAAAGGTGTACCTGAGAAGTACATAAACCTTGTGAAGGCTCTTTACTCGAACACTACCAGTCGAGTGAGAGCTTATGGCGAACTGTCACATGATTTTACAACCTCAAGTGATGTCCGTCAAGGCTGTCCACTATCCCCATTTTTGTTTAACTTCATTATAGACCTGTTGCTGGAAATAACAATCTCTTCGACTGAATTTTCAGGAATTGATCTTCTACCAGGAGGTTCACTTATCGAATTAGAATATGCAGATGACATAGTCCTGTTTGGTGAAGACACTGGCAAAATGCAGAGTCTTCTGTTAGAACTGAGTAATAATGCCAGGATATTTGGGATGCGTTTCTCCCCATCTAAATGTAAATTGTTACTCCAGGACTGGCCTGCGTCAACACCTGAACTAAGGATAGGGAGTGAAGTAGTCGAACGCGTCGACAACTTCACTTATCTCATCAGCCCTAATGGGTTGGTGTCTGACGAAATCTCAGCACAGATTCAAAAAGCTCGTTTGGCTTTTGCCAACTTACGTCACCTATGGCGAAGACGAGATATCCGTCTATCAATTAAGGGACGAGTATACTGCGCAGCAGTTCGCTCTGTTCTACTTTACGGCTGCGAAGCATGACCATTAAGAGTAGAAGATACCCGTAGGTTACCAGTATTTGACCACAGATGCCTTAGAAATATTGCTCGCACCTGCTGGGATAACCGGGTAAGTAATAGTGAGGTTAGACGCAGGGTATTAGGGAATGATGGTAAATCAGTTGATGAGGTCATGAATTTTCATCTACTGAGATGGTTGGGCCACTTGTTACGCATGCCTGAACACCGATTACCACGACGCGCAATGTTGACCAGTGTAGGGGATGGTTGGAAGAGAGTTAGGGGCGGCCAAACCAAAACATGGCATCAGTGCTTGAAGTCACTAACTTCTAGTCTGAGCCATGTTGGTAGATGCAGACTATCTGGTTGGGGTCCGCGTGACTATCGTAATAAATGGTTGGAGACTCTGGGTGACATGGCTCAGAATCGATCACAATGGCCTAGGTGTATACACTCTTTATCTTCCCTTAAACCTTGAGATTAAAATTGCTTCATAACTTTTTTTTCCTTCCTATACTATATCCTTATATACAACCTTTCTTTATATACTACCACCACTAAATTAATTACTTCTATGAATCCGGTGTTCATCTTGTTGTGCTAACGAGGTATGGCGACTTGGACCGATGCATATATGTGCCTGGTCCTACGTTGTCGCTGGCTGATTGAATGTTTCATAACTTACACAAAACCTCTAGTATACCAAATGCTTAACACTAATAAAAATCAAAACGAGAAAAAACGTATACTGTGAATGACTTAATTTAGCATTCTCACCAAAAATTATCGTGATCATGATCTGAATATTTTACTTTCCATTTAATTTCTTAACACTGAATAGTTGACCAAAACCTTAGGAGTTTCACATCATTCTGTACACATTAGCACCATCGCATATTAATTATGCTGTTATAAAGGTATGATACTTGTTATAATGCTAGGGTTTCTTGTTATAACAGTCCTTTTACCTTTTACACGTATGTGGGACGTTAATCTACCTTAGACGAATATCTACACTAGATTCCCTCCCAGTGTTTATTCTGCAGAACTTCAACACAACTCAGATCAAGAACACGAGATTAGCCTGACTAGAACGTCAATATATTCCCACACCGAAATCCGACACAATCCAACAAGAACAGTAAATCAATAATAATAACAATAATAATAATAATAATAAATAATAATAATAATAATAATAATAATAATGATAGGAGGATATATAACACTTGTAACCCTATCTAATGTCTGACTCAGAAAAACAACCAATCATTATCATTCTTGCCCACACATCATATACATTCAGTAGTTCTTGTATTTCTAATATGTTTTTAAGCACGCATCCAAAAAAGTTATACGAGGTCAACTTATTTCATTTTGTTAACATTCTATTTTACTTTCATGCTTAAAATCATCCAATTGATGAAATTTTCACCCGCACTCGCGCAATACCGAAGGTCCTTGGTTGGAGTCGCACGTGCGGGGTCGTGGATGCACACTACTGAGGAGTTCCATACTACGATTAAACGACCCTCCAGTGTCTCCAGGTTTCTAATGTTTGTTTAACATTGATCGGTTCATGATTTCAGTGAAAAGAAATTGAATAAAGTTAGAAATCCAGACCACTAGATATCAAGTTAATAGTTCGAAGGCAATGCACTGGTTGCCAGATATGAAAATTATGCATTCAACCTTTGCTGACGTTGTGAGTCCTGATGGTTTCATACTAGGAAGAAACAATTATTCGATGAGCGCTAGTTTCCAATGATTTCTCATTTGATGATATTAATTTATAACATTATATATCAACTCAAACAAACTTCCCATTTAGATAAAAATTTTAGATACATAATTCATAAAAATAATGAATAGTTTTACTTACATGATAAAATCTTTGCATATTTTAGTGTATTCATCTCGACTTTTGTCTGAAGTTAAATCATCCCATATCTTAGCTAATAAACAAGCTACAGTCATACGTGTATCACTTGTAGTGGCTAAACGAATTCCATCTGGTGAATTTTGACATGATGTTTCATGTTTATTAGAAATTAGTTCATTATTTCTATGTTTATTAATACGAGATGAACGCCAATTTTTTAATGAAGTTATTCCACTTGCACAAGCTACCTCTAGTAAAGAATCGATAACACCTTGAAACAAAAAATGAAGAGAAAATTCTATATACAAATGCATAAAGTTACTTTATATAGAAAGCTTCGCGAACTATTCAAAAGTATAAAGAATCATATGGATAAGTTATATCATTAAATGATTTACCAAAAAGTGAAATTCTTTATTCAAGACTTTCCTTTGCACAAAGAAAAGTGATATGAAATCCATATAGGTTAAACTTGACAACTGTAAAGTTTAAACGTTGACGAAGAGGCTTAGACAAGGTTATGAAAAGCTTAGCTGCTGGTTTATGTTTTAGAAAACACAATAGTATTGCTAATCTTGGAGTTCGATTTCAAGATTATGTTTTATATGCGCTCATCTAGGCAAATTATAGCACACTCATGCAATCTAACTAATGTTGGTGTTTTGTTAAGAGATAAATTAAAGTATGGACAAACAAGCCGAATTCCTATCAAGTCATCCATACACATACAGTTGAACACATTTCATTAAACGAGCCGGTAAATGGGAAACGTAAGTGGATCACGAGGCCCTGAATGATGGTCCCATATATTATACTGCTTTACATGACTTAAGATATGTTCTAGAATCAAACGAACTAGTTAGATTATGAGGCTTTGCCTTTGATCAGAAAGATTATAAGGAATAGTAACGTTGTCTCCCTACACGTTACCTGTGTCGTTTCATTTTTTCATTCTCTGAAGTGACATTATACTGTTTTATGTTGCATCTCTTGATGTACAATGTTTGTGCTGAATGAATCGTAAAAACAAACCAATGGTAAATAGCATCAACAACATCGGAGAAGTCAGTTATTTGAGGATAGGATACGTTTCCGTGAATTAGTAGAACATTTTCGTTTCAGTGTTCACTATGTGTGTAATATCTGTCACTTTTCTGTTCCTTTATAGTAAGTGATTTCTGCATATAAGAGAACAATTCCCACTGGGGATCTCATTTCAAACTCTATCTTTAACTTTATTTGCTTCTTTCATTTGCTAATTTCGGATGTGCTACAGTAGCGTGTTCACACAAGGCATATACAAATAGTGATCGATAATCAATATGAAGTCCCCAGTGAAAATTGTACATCAGCACTAACACACTAAATGAACGGAAAAATGATTGAAAATACTTGATATAGCACTTTTATTAAATATTGTAGAAGGATGGTTATCCTTACATGTTATTTGCTTATTAGGATATTACTTTTCAGTAATGACCTTTCTGTACTGAAACAATAATTTAAACATTTTTGACAGATAAACTTTCTAGTCAGGAGAAACCATATTTTAACTAAGAAATACTGTTTTTTAACCACGGTTATATAAGGTCAATTTAAGGTGAAATATTATGAAAAACAACCAAATGAAAGTATTCAGAAGTACATACCTTCTATTTTAAAAATTTTCTGTGACCATCCAATACCTTTATCAGATGGAACATATCTAACCAATATTTCCAAAATATAATCTCGAGTTTTCGGGCATAACCGATAGCTATTTACAGATCGAAGAAGACTTGTTAAAATTCCTTCTACTGGCTTTTCAACTGTAGAATCTGTAAAATGTAAACATATTGTTAAACTGAAAATGTGAATGATTCCAATTTGTTATTTATATATACTGTCTAGATTATTGAGAATGAAGGTCAGATATATTACAACTGAGCCAACTTGACCTCTAAACCACTGAGTTGGCGTCCAACAGTGTTAATGTCCAACTCCAATCAACCCACGATATTGCGCAACCATCCTTTACTGTCCTCGGTGGATAGCTGCCTCATAACCGACATGGTTTAGCTCAACTGGTCACGGCTTCTCGATTGAACTCTGGAAATTTCCTAATCATTAATGGGTACGTGACTATAGAAGTTCAAGTTAGATCGGCTTAGGGTTTCAATGAAAAACAGTTATTATTATTATCATTATTATTATAACCAAATCTAGACCAACAACATGCGCTTATCTCTTAGCTTATGTTTAAAAGAGAAAAAAGTATTCCGAAATAGCCTGCCCATGTTTATTGTTAGCATTTCTAGAGGTCATTGAAACAAGTAGACATTCGACTGGCGAGTCCCAGATAAGACGAAACATAAGACCCAGATTTCACTGATGATCACTATTTATCTGTTCACTAAACACAGGTTTAGTTAGTTTTTTCAATCCCGTTATAAAAATATTTTCACTCGAAAATATTTCTGAATCGAACGGAAGTGGTATGTAAAGGTTAAGTTAAAGAAAACGATACAATTTTCTAGATAACTGAAGTTTTTAAGACTTGGAATCAAAGCTTCAGTAATTCTCCAACTTCGCCTACTTAAACTAATTAATAGATTATCCAAGAGTTACATGATGATAAAAATCTATCCACAAGAAATATGCACCTGATAGTAAAATACATTAACCGTGTGTCTCATTTAAAAACCGACCGACAAAAACTGTTGAATGTAAGCAGAACATTTGTTGATTTTTACCAAGAAAATATATCTGCATAATTTAGATTTTTTTCTCCAAACCTAGTAACTAAAGACAAGTTTTACTGCTAGGTTTTGATTAGAGATACTACTTGATTACCCTGAGAAAAGTAGATAAAGGTATGGATATGAAGTCTGAAATTTAGGACCAGAATAGTCAAAATATCTATTAACAAAGATAGAATCAGGTAGTGTACATGAATAGTTTAATGAATGATTATTAATGTACCTCTGAAACTTTACATTCACTAAACTATCTTATTTGTAACATAGAGTGACGTTCATCTTTCTGTTTAAATCACATAAATATAAAACAGGTAAACATAACACTACTCTTGTATATTCCTAATTACTAGATCGACTTACCAATCTTGTATTTCGGGTAAGAACATGGTGCTACTTTTTTACTTTCAATCTCCTTACGAACGCTTGCAGCTTCTTTAGCACTATGATAAGCTTTCAATTGAGTAAGTGATTCCAATATAGCATTTAAAAATCGACATCGTTCCAGCGAATGTTCAGGATTACGTGAAAATATCCCGTTTACAAAATACTGTGGTGTAAGTTCATGTAAAACGGTAAGACCCTAAAGTAGAAAATGTTTCGAGCCAAAATTATAACATTATCCATACAGTATACATATACATTCTCTTAAGGTGTATTTAATTCTGCCCGTAGACATTTTAGGGTTACAACCGGTCCCAAGCCCGGAAAAGAATGGTTGTAGGTTAGATTAGCGACCACCTCATAGAAAAAGAACCTTGCTAAACGAACGCTTTCATTTTATTTAATTTGAACACATAAACATTGGTACAACTGGGCACCAAATATACATGCGCCACACAATAACAATGAGGCCAGTAGCAGTTATCATTGATGTGTGAGGGCTAGGATACTGCCCGGGTACCCAGACCGAAGCAGGTGGTTTTCTAAAGGGGCCGCACCCCGAGCCTTTGACCTTGTTATATCCCGATGAGAATAATGAATGGTAGCTGTTGTGATCTATTTCTGGACTAATTCTACATACATATCTTTATTGTATAATTTTTAAGCAACTAAACTATTTATATTCGTGTTTCTCTTATTATAATTTTTATTTTGACCTACAGACTATTATTATACGATTTGCCATTCTTGAGTTATGTCCAGTCTATCAATTACTATCTTCCACATTCACAGCCACATTCGGCTAAATCTTGTACAGATGTTATTTTTTATTTTGACACGATTTGGTCTGTTTAGTTTGTATATAAACTTACTATGTCTGAAATACATTATTCATATTGTGGAGGCTGAGATTGGTGTTTTGAGGTCAACAGAAAGGGCTAGGCGGGAAGAACCGATAAGGAATCTAGACTGCTCGTATGGGTTTTATGCGTCATTGGTCTGATTGATAAATCACTGCTGCCTAATTGGCTGTATCATTACGTCGTATACATTAATAAGGGCATAAGTCTACAAGTCATAACAGACCTGAAGGTCTAATCTACAAGGCAGTGAAGCAAGATCAGGAGATCCAATCCCCTGGTAGCTGGTGACCAATAATTGGTCCATACGCCATTTGTTCCCTCAGGATCCTGGAGTCCATGTGCACCATTGGTTTGGAATCAGGGTTTTCCAACTCCTCCAGGTGGATCCTCCATATTCACCAACCCAGTTAGAGTGCCGTACATTCGTTTTTCGTCCCCTCAATTTTGCAAACAACACCCTCACCGCGAGAAGACAATGAGTAGGACTTCCCTGACAGTGATTGTATACGCATGGCCATGTAAGAGCATCTCGAGAGGAAAAGCGGACTACAGAAGCATTTCAGTTTGACTGCTTTTTCTAGACTACTAAGGGGACGACTCAAATTTAATTTTTGTTTACCGTTTATCGGCTCTTGTATTTGATAGTCAACAATAAAAATCGTGTTTCATAAAACTAGTCACACAGACTTACCACTTGAAATATTTTGAAACACTTTTTAGTGGATTATTCAGAAAATTACGTTATGCGACTAAACTTATCAACGACTAAACGATGATAACCACACAATAAACCTAGTGCGTATTCAATAATACCCAGATTTCCAGATATTTACTTATAACTATTAACGTTAAACTAAATGATAAACTCACCCAATCCCGCTCATTTTCCACGAGCTGAGCTAACAAACGATGACAAGCAATAGTCAACTTATGATTAGAGTTCCTGCAAACGGAATAGATCTTCGAAAAACTGGGATTTGTCCAGATCATAGAACTCGCAACTTTCGGGTTTTCTTTTATTAGGATAGATAAATTAACTATAGCCTTTAACGGTTAATGACACGATCGGATGAAGTTTTAATCTACCTGTTCCAGTTCTTCAGCAGAGCTCGAGTTGTCATTTACGATGGCGAACATCTTCTTTAGTTTCCCTGTAAGGCTTTCAGATTCTGCGACGTACGAAGCGACTGAAGTTTCTAGTTTGTGAGTCAGATCCTGAGATGCTTTATTCTTAGGGTCAACTAGAATAAGCCTTCTTCCAGTTTCTAGGGCTTCTTTTAACATTCCTTTACCTTCATAAGCTTGTGCACAACGATAGAGCGCCTTCGGATCACCAGGAGAGATACTAAGAGCTAATCGTGATTAGCTAACTATATGAGAGAAAACAAACCTTCCAGGGCAGCCGTCAGGGCGTCACTGAAGTTTCCCAGGTTTAAAAAACATTGGGCTTTATTGCGTTGTAACACCAACTTCATGCTCTTGTCAGAGCCACATAAACTAAGGCATTCGTCATATAAGCCAATAGCTTCTAGGTATAGACCTTTTTTAAAAAGCTCATTAGCTTCAGTTTTTAATTCGATTAGGTTTTTCATGTCAGCCTTTGATATGGAATGATAACGAGAAAATGAAGAAGAAATTAACAAAACGTCAACAAAACACGAACCGAAAGTCCAAAATCTACGTAACTGTCAGCGACAACGAAAGTTTTAAATACGGAAGCACTTATCTCCATTGTTTCTACTATCCCAGTGCCAATCTGTCCTATCAACTAAGCTAGATATTAAATACAGGATATATAAGTGACTTAGAATAGTTGCTATTTAACCGATAAGAGCACGTGTATGGAAGGAAAAACGACAAATGACGCATATTAATTCCATTCACAATTTCATCCACCAGAAGAGAAGCAATTGCAAAGATGGGAACACTTGAGTAAAGCTTATATGGTTGGGCCAGCAGCATTGAACTAGTAGTCTGCGGCGTATAATAGAAAGAGAACACGAACATCAAGTGATTTAGTGTTTGTGATTACCTGCAATACAACTGTGCAAACATTCAAGAGGGACTACGTATGAACGAGCCTGTGAAATATGTGAAATATGTTCAGGGACTAATCTCTTGAAAACAATCACAAGCTCCCAATTTCGGGATAAAATTAACCGGTTTTAAATAAATTTTGGGACAGTCCCATTGAGAATTTTCGGTGAATTTTTGGATAATGCAACAGCATCATAGTGATGCTAAATTGTAAACTCCCTACGTAACTGTCAAAAAAACATGCAAAAATAATTTAAAGCCAACAACTTTAAATAGGATATTTCGTCAAGCAAGAAACGATGACAATTAAAATGTTTAACAACCATCTTTAATACCTAAGATGCATATCTCATATAATATTTTGGTCTGTCCAACTGTGTATTGGATAATTGATGATGAACCTAAGGAGAAGCATAACTGACCAAAGAAATTTGTATTCCTATTTAGGCCGTGTTATTTGTACTTGATTCATCCCCCCATTACCGATTTCAAATACAATATGTTATTTTCTGTTCACTTAGTTCTACCTGCCTTAAATTGCATTATTACGGACACTCTTAGTTAGCACATCAATTGCATTAATTCTATTTATTATAATTTGACAACCGATAGAAGTACATAAAAGGATAGTTAGAAGGTCTACACTCTAGACCTGGGAGCAGCAACCAAACGACAAGCAAATGTCAAAGTTAATCAAATTACTGCCACACTCAAGGTTGTACGGGCATTCAAGTGGTTCAATTGGTTGAGGACGGAATAGAAGCTTTCGCTTAATGGGCTTCCGGTTCTAGTAGCAGTGGACCACAAATACTTTCAGGCAGGAACCTAGGTATATTAACGATAATAGAAAAAAAGAAGTTGGCAAATCATAATAAAATGTTATCCTTAGTCCTTAAGAATAAGTTGAGTTTCTTCTTAAAGGACTCCTGGGAAGTTTCTTAGACTAGCTCAATCGGCAGCGAATTCCAGCATTTGGCAACTCTTACGGAGTAGAAGTTTTGTCAACAGTCTGTTCTGCTATGTTGGGTCTCCAGTTTCTGGGTGTTACCTCTTGGGTTAATGTTGTGACTAAGCTTAAGAAGATGTTTAAAGGGATGACCAGAAGTGTTAAGGTTACTGTAAGTCATAAGAAGGTTACCTCTAAGACGCCTTAACTCTAACGGGTAAAGGTTAAGTGATTGGAGGCGCTCTTCGTAAGGTTTGAATTTGAGTCCCCGAACTGATTTCGCGGCTCTGCGTTGGATACGTTCCAGAGTGTCCTTATCCTTTTGGAGGAAGGGAGGAAATACTATGTTTTCGTACTCTAAATGGGGACGAATAAAACTGTTGAAGATAATGTGGAAATTTCTACCATCAAACTGGCCAAAAATGCTCTTCAATGTTACCAGTGCAATGTTTGCTTGAAAGGCGTTTTTTGTCACAGTTAGCGTACGACTTCAAGTAGTAGGATGCCAACACTCCTAAATCTTTCTCGACTTGGGAAACTTCTAGAGAGGAGTTTCCTTTCGGTCACGTATCTCTCTCCAAAGTTTCACATCATCAGCAAAAAGCAATAAGTCAGATGAAACTTGTTGTGGAAAATCGTCAATGTAAACCAAGAAGAGAAGAGGTCCTAGTATTGAGCACTGAGGTACGCCACTAGGATATTCCATAGCCTGAGAGAGAGAGTGAAGTTAACACTGAACTTAGAATGTCGGTTTTCTAGATATGAAAAGAGCAAGTCAATCATAGGGGGTTTGATACCCAATTGTCTAAGCTTATTGATAAACATATGTGGTTGACCTTATCAACAGCTTTTGAGAAATCAAGGTAAATGACGTCAACCTTCCCCTTGCGATCAAGGATGGTTGCCCATCTATCCACCCTAGTCAGTAGGTTGGTCATACAAGAATGACCCTTTCTGAAACCATGCTGTTGAGGTGAGAAGAACTTTAAGGATAATAAGTATTCGTGTATACCGTCGTATACTAGAGACTCTATAATTTTAGAAGGTATCGAGAGAAGGGCCACTGAGGGTTCACTGCGTCGACCTCCTTTGAAAATTGGTGTGATGTAAGCCAGCTTCCAAATTTCCAGGGCTAGGATGACCAATACAATTTCTTTGTCCTTACTTATAGGTTCTAGATCATGTCACAGGCTGCTGATGTTGTCTTCTGTCTAAGCGCTTAGCTATTCTGGTTCCAGTAAGTTCGACGTTTATTATCATTATTCAGACTTCCAACAGTTTTTGCTCTTGGCTACGAAATATCTTTCAGGTCTAGTAATTGGCGTTTAGCACACTACTCGCGATTTGTTCTTTTTCCTAACCGTGGTCATTTTAGCAGGTTCTTAACGTATAGGTTATATAGCTTCAGCTGCTGTACTTGACATTATTCTATCCGATTATCTACCATAACATTTATTTGAATTTAGCAATTTAGCAACTTTTTGCCGTAATTTTAGACCTATTTTGACCTAATGGACACAAAATCGATTATCATTTGCAAACAACTCTAGAATTTTTCCATATTCATTTAGTGTTTGTCATTAGCTCCTTCCCACTTAAGTCATTTGAGTTCACATCCGTCCAACGCATGACAAAGCGAAGTATACAAATTAATCGAACCTATAGATGATGGGACAAAACTTAAAAAACAGTTGAAGGAGAAGATAGGAAGAGAATCTGATAGACCGGACTGATGATAGTAATAAGTCGGAAAATAATAATAGTAGGTAAGTTACGAGTGTTGTACTAAGTTTAACGAAAAGTGCGGTACTTCGGTACCCAATATCTTAGCGATCAGCAAGTTTTTCCGAGGTAATTTTCGCTCTCATTTTTTATACTACAGAATATTTGACTTTCAACAAAAAAACATCAAAAAATGTAGTATATATGAGGTAAACTGGTATCGCGTCTTTGATATCCATCATTCATGTATGTCGGCTTCAAGAAGCAGTTTTAGAACTTTTGGAACCGTGTACAAATGATTAAATAACACGGGAAAGAGAAATACACCATCATTCGACCCATATAGACTTCAGTAAAAGTTAAGCTCACTAGCTGTATTTTTAATTAAATCCAAGGTTATTAGTACATTAGTGCTAAGAAGAAAATATTTTAGGTCTCTTCAGAAATGAAGCTATACACATGTTCCTAAGATTTTGCATAATATCCGTCATATCTGAACAGGTTCTGTAAAATTTATAGGAATATTGAGTGGATTAGAAGGACGAAACGTAGATTATCGAAAGAAGCACGAAATGTGTATTAATTTGACATGTACGTTTGAGAAACAGAATAAGAATAAACGGTAACACATTTGCTACATAATAGATCAAATAAATAAATCCTTACTACTGTAAGACTTGATGGTAGAATTAGAGTATGAGTAGTAATAATTTAGAATTATACAATGAAAGTTTTAATAACTTACAGAGAATAAACGCCAAATATCAATTTGTATGGGTCGTATATACGTTGTGATATTTCTGAGTGTTAGATTGAATTCTAAATTGGGCCAGTAATTCCAGAAATAATGTGGGTTATATTATCCACAAATAATATAAAAAACAGTATGCAAAATGTGAAGCACAATTCTACATCATATATGATCATGTCTTAAAAGTGATAGATGATGGTTTTCCAGATGGTCAACATGAATGTATAACTAAATGCATATGATCATGTATGCTATGAACATGTTAAATTGAGATCTTATCATACGGTAGAAAATATATAGTGTTTACGCAAAAGGCTCTATTCACTTTTGAAACCTAAAAGCCTGGAAGCAGTAAGAATCATCTGGTAGATGCTCTTTTGAGATTTATCTACCGCTACACTTATCTCGTGGCGAATCTTGTATTACCATCATCAGATGTGATCAACTTATTCATATTGTTATAGAAGAACCAAAAATATTTAAGCCATTAGAAACTATGGTATGAAGTCGTAATAATTTCACTGATTTTTGGATGCATTCACATTTTTCAAACTTTGAACTTGTTTGTTCATAACTTTGACTTCGGATATTTTTGTCTTATTCAGTTCTTGGTTTGGTATTTTGGACGTTTAAGCTCCGGAAACCTAAAAATTGGATGTCTGCTTTGTATTTGTCATAACTATTTTGAGAACGATATGTTTGGGTCGAATACTTGTAATGTACGAATAAACTTTTTTGCCGAATTAGGATATGGTTCTATTGTTACTTAGGTCTGTTCGTGACGAATAGGTCAATCAGCGATGCTTCAATAACAAAAGACAGCAAAATTTAGACGTTACACTTATCTCGCTTATTGTAATATCTATTTCCTTTTTATCAGTACACTTTGGTCTTCCCACGTTAGGCATTACTAGTTAGCTAAATTATTTTTTCGAAATAATCATCTCTTAGTGCTTGAAATTTCTCCTCACCTTTTTTCATACTGAAGGCAGGCGACCTCCTTTCCGATAATGTGTTAGCAGCGGGTAACCTGAAACCCTACTGTCCAGACAGAGTCTTACCCAAATTTAGAAATATGAAAGCCTAATGAGTTAACCAGAACTGATGAATTAAAGTAGCTGTATTGCCTCTTATTATCAAAGACTTGCGGCCCAGCGTGAAAAGTGGGAAATGGGTGAAAACAAACCCTAAACGGTATGAAGTACTGGCGTTTCCATCATATCCCATATACGGCTGAACAGTTTTTGGAACTCTTGATACATGTCTGTAGGCTGATTAGTTGGGAATATCATACATATTCCTACTGGGTTAGGGTTAAGTGGGAGACCTGAATGACAAGGTCGCAATGGATAGCGTTGGTGACAAAAAGATCATGAAGTAGCAAGAATTGAGAGAAACGGATTAGGATGGCGAGAGACTGGTTGTTCAGTGAGCTCCCAACAAAATGATTACAAACAGCAACATCTTTGCACAAAGGATATATGGGTTACACCGGAACACACTACGGAGAGCTAGAGCAATTATAGTTATATTAACCAAAATTCATGTTCACGGAAGACGCACGTACATAGAGAGGCGCTGATATGATTTTAACAAACAACCTTGTAGTAGTCAAGCTAAGTCTGAAGCCAAAGAACCCTTGTAGAATTTAACAGAGTTACACGGTTTAGTATACTCTTCCTTCGAGATGTTAACAATCTCAACAAATTCAAAAATGCTTGCAATATAAAATTCCAGTAATCAGCTGATCAACAACGGGCACAACAATAGAAGGGAACATTAAAGCACATTTCTATATATAAAAGCTCAAAAAATGAGTTGACAGAATAAGGGTTAGAGAGCGAAAATATCTGAAAGACCTGGAAATACAAAACAGAAAGTTAAAAGAGAAAAAAGCAATGAAGATCTACGTGATAATATCAATCAGCTCGGCAGAAAACAATGAAATAGAGCAACTATTCAAAAAGCGAGAAAGTGTGATGGAGTCGGCATACACAGAATTCCAATTGCATAACACTTAACCAACAATAGAGTGAATTAGCAAAGTTATCAGAAAAATCAAAAACTGCGAAGCGGCAAGATCAGACAGAATTGAAGTCAGATACACAAACAAATATGAAGATGTTTGACTTTCTCTTCAGAAAAAATTGTGAGGAGAGCAAGTATCAGTAGATTAAAAAGATAAATGCCTCATCAAGAAAACGAGCAAAATTGATCTTAATAATTATGAGTACTACAGATGGATCATACTACTGCCAGTACCAGGTTGAGATTTCAATAATGTTACTGAACCGGATGAAAGACTC